AGACATCCCAGTCTCTCTATTCATATGCCAGATTGGATAAATAAAGCATATAGCTGTCAGAGCTATCGGTCGTAATGTAGTATCTTGACTAAACCAGGCCTTAGTTAAGTAACTAACTTAAACTGTGCTGCTTATATGAGCATTCTATTTCATAGCCGTACGGAAAGAATCAGCCGAAGAAATAGTTTTTGCATGCGAAATTATTCGGTTTTGCCGTGAGGCAAATGTCTACAAGTATATTAAAACTTCGGAGTTCCGAACATACCGTATTTGTAATTACGGTTACAAAGTCCGCGATTGATTAACAAAAAAGAGCCGCAAGGGATAATATAACTGCAACTCACGTTTATTGCAGAAGGTCTGCAGCACATCCAGGCCCTCCAAAAATGAATTGGTGCAGAACAAGAAAAACGCTATATTAGTAAGTAAGCTGTGTACAATACTAAACACATAGGGGATAACGAGCAGGATAAGTCCACCGATTTTAGCGTAAAACACTGCAAGATAAAATATAAATATAAATGAGTAAAAGATCCAAGCACATATAAAAGAAGCGCAGCTTACCTGAAGAAAAGCAGACTGATATTAAATAGGCATACGACATATTTGCCACAATGTACAATAAATACAAGATATATATATAAATAAAGGGAATCAGTCCCAAGGCGCCATACTGCCAGGCGATAATTAGGTTTAACATCAGGAATGTTGCATAGAAAACAATACGTATCAGAAAAAATGTGAGCCCATTCAAAAAGCTCATGGGTGTGACCAGATTCAGGAACTCCTTTAGGCCATTCTGTTTCTCTTCGACGAAGGGCACCAGAAATGTGCTCAACAACATAATACAAAATAATATGCTAAATAATGTGCCGAAATTAATCAGGCGAGAGCTGTCCGAGTTGCCAACCTCCAGATTCGGCATGACATTCAACAGCAGCTCATAGTTGTCATTAATTTGCTGATAGCGCAAAAACTGACGGTCAATAACATACTGAAGAGTAAGAAACCCCTCACGAATATACTCATCGTCATCTGCAAAAGTGTGAACGAATGCTGTAAATGATAATCATAAATGTTGTCTAGCTGTCTGTATACGCACTCTTCAGATGGTTAATTTCCTCGTCATTTACAAAGCGCTTTTTTGGCGAGTTTCGCATTTGATTTGAGTAAAGACTGTACTTTAATCCCCACCCACTTCTCGGGTCTGGCAATGCTTGGAAATTTATGGCAAAACAGCTTCCTTTGCACTGTCGTTGCATATCCAATTCCATTTCCACGCTATTGTTGTACTCTCTCATACCTAAAAAATGTTCGGTAATAGTAGGGATGTTCAATAATAGTAGAGGTGTTCAATAATCTTACGTTCATATGGAATTTCTAATTCTTCCCGCACATGTTCCATTAGTGATCCCACATTATTCGTACTCGGCCCATAGTATATCCAATCAAACTCATTACCGGGAAAGTACAATGCCTTAAGTGATACCTATAAACAAAGAGTATTGTTGTAATTAGTTAATAAAATAAGTGACAATCAATACTCACATAATCTTTGCTTTCGAATTCTTCGCTTTTGTAGTAGTTAGACTTGTTTGACCAATGCAAATAACTGAACTGTACTCCTGTCCATAAAAAACATATGATGGTCAATGGTATCCAGTTGTGCTTCAAATATAGCAAATTCTTATGCCAAAACACATAAAACAATGAACATCTACACGCCATTGTTGTTTTTTTTTTTTTGCACTTGGTTACTCTGTCTTCTTGTTTGGATTATTTGGCCGTCCTGTGAAGACGCCAACACCAATGTGTGAAACTAAGCTTTTTTCATATGAAAAGATTAACTTTCTTTTGTAAATAGTTTTGGCTTTGGGAGTAGCCTAAAAAATATCGGTGGTGATAACCAGACGTCCGAAAGTGTCGATAAATATCGATGTACTTAGTCACTAAGAAGTGACGTTTGATGCTTCTATACTGATTTTACCGACTATCGGTAAGACTATCGGTTAGAAGTAGACTACGTAGGCATTGTGTGCCTATCGATTTTAACTTGTACCATCGCTATTTCTTATTCTTAGTATTTTTGTCTGTCGACAAGTATTTTTGTTGAAATCTTGAAATATTATGAGCGGCACTACAATATTTCCTATTAATATAGAAAAGCTCACGGCCAAGGAACGACACAATTATATTCTTAATCAATATGTGTTGCCCACAGCTGCTGAAAATGAATCCCGCAGCCATAAACGTGATATTGATGTCATCCGTGAAAACCATCGTTTCCTTTGGGACGAAGAGGATGCTGATAATGGATCGCTGAGCTGGGAACAGCGCTTGGCGTTACGCTATTACCGAAAATTATTCAAAGAGTACTGCATAGCCGATCTCACGCGCTACAAGGATAACAAAATAGCTTTGCGCTGGCGCACCGAACAGGAGGTCGTCACCGGCCTGGGTCAGTTCCAGTGTGGCAGTCGGCACTGTGGCGAGCGTGAGGGCTTACGCAGCTGGGAAGTCAACTTTAAATATATTGAGCAAGGTGTTCTGCAAAATGCACTAGTTAAGGTAGGCAAAAACAGCGCATGACAATTATCTTCATGCTACCAAAGATTATATCGTTTTTATATCGACTATGTGATATAGGTATAGACCTTGAATGTCCCCTTCAATTCATTAACATTTCGTGATTTGATGGCTGTTAAATGTGTGTCTAAACCTTTATTTTGTGCAGGTTCGTCTCTGTCCCGTACATACAGAGCAGCTGAACTACCGAACGAAGAAAAGGGAGCACAAACGCCAGCGGCGCAGGGAGAAGGATGTGCGTAAAACCGAACGAAAGCATAAGAAACGCAAACTGGACAAAAAGGAACAAGAGAGTGAAGAAGTGGAAGAAGAAGAACAAGAGCCGCAACATGACGATGCAGCCACAAGCGGTGAAACTGCATCGGAAAAACCCGACGAAACTGTGGACGAGGACATTTGGAGCAAACAACTGGATCTGAGCAAAGAACAGCCGTCGCGTGAACAGGAATTCGAACGTTATTTGGAGGATCTATTATTGTAAAAGTAAAAATGCAAAATGTTTTGGTTTGAACTGCACTTTTGTAAATACAATAGCATTATTTTTTATTAATGCAGAGCTTGTGCTCTTCTATGGCTATATAGCTACCTACTGCACTTTGAAGACTTGTACATAAATATACATACATTTACATTTATACAATCAATACTCAAAAGTATATACAGTGAAAGCTCTGCTACCTTAAGACTTGCAATTTTTTGCTTTTAATTTATCTCAAACAATACACAAATCATGTAAATTAATTAATTAAAAAAAAAACGTATTAATGAATTTAGTAATTTTTTACCTTAGCAGGAAAGCATAGTTTACCGTATTTGTCCGTTCAAGAGAGCTTTCACTGTATATACATAAATAGTATGTTAATATATTGTTAAACACCAACACCAAAAAGTTGAACTGGACATTAAGGCTGTGACTTGTTTTTGAAACAGTTATGAAATTACGAATACAATTGGACTCTCATATTTTAATAACTAAATTTGTAGCATCGTTCATAGACTTGACGTCTCTGCCTCCGTCATTTGAAAAACACCTCGTTAGCTATTGAGCCTGCGGCAAGAGGTCGGCGAATGCCTGCGGCGGTTTAAAGTCACGCACTTCGGTGAACACGAGCTCCTTCCATTTCTCCACCGGTAGCTCGTTCTCCTCAAAACTTTGATCGTACAATGTTGATGTCGCCTCATCGCTGGGATCATGCCATTTCTCCATATAGGGATGTGCCAGCGCCTGTTCAGCAGTAATGCGCTTCTCCGCATCTAGCTCTAGCATCTTTTCAAGCAAGTCAATAGCTAGTGGATTGGCACCCCGAAAAATATCACGAAAGTTGCGACGCGGCATCACCGGCAACGATCGTATGTAGGTGCGTGCGCTCTCCGATGAAATCTTGCTCATAAACTCGTCGTTTGGTGTGCCCAATATCTCCATGATCAGGTTCAGCTGGTGTATGTGATCAGTGCCCGGAAAGAGTGTACGACCGGTCAACAGCTCTGCCATAATGCAGCCCACAGACCAAATGTCCACCGTCTGATTGTAGTGCATCCAATTGAGCATGATTTCCGGAGCGCGATACCATCGTGTGGCCACATACCCGGTCATTTCGCTCTCGGCGGGTCTCGCAAGACCGAAATCTAAAATACGCAGCTCGCAATCTTCATTCACAGCCAAATTGGATGGCTTCAGGTCACGATGTATGACGCCAGCACTGTGTATATACTTCAGCCCGCGCAGTATCTGATAGACCAAGAACTGCACATGCTCGTCGGACAACTTCTGCGTGCGTATTATATTATTTAAATCGGCGTCCATAAGATGCGTCACCATGTAAACCTGCTGAAACTGCTCTAGCGAATCTGCTGGCTGGCCCGGATGGAAGACGTCAAGCAGTCCAATAACGTTCTCGTGATCCATGTGCTTTAGCAGACGCAACTCGCGGTATGTGCGCTTCGCATGGACTGCCGATTGAAAGGGGCGGGCTAATTTCTTAATAGCCACCTTTGTGGTGGTGCCTCGCACCAAAGCTTTGCACACCTGGCCATATGCCCCCTGTCCAACGGACTGCAGATTTTGGTACGTTTCGGGTATCTCCCATTCGGTGCGATTAATGTCAAGTTTATAGAACTTCGGCATTTTTGTTTTGGTGGATTCGATTGTCGCTTACGCCCCAAATTACTGAAAATCCCTTTGCTCTTTATGTCCAAAAAAATTTCACGTATTCAAGAAGAAGCAGTCTTCTTTTAGTGATGTAAGAAAACAACGATGCAACAATTTATCGATAGTTTGATGCTACGATATTTTTTCTTTTGGTAATAAGTCAATCGATATTAGCGATAAAATGATTGTATCAGCTGTTAGAATTAAGCTTCTTCAGTTTCAATTTGTAAACTTTGCGCCAGGCCCCATCAGCTGTGTAAATCAAGCTTTCAGTTTCAATCGGTCGTTTGTGAGCGCAGCAGCTTAAGTGCGGACTACGCTACTTCGAGCTTGAACGTTTTTTGCACGAGTTTTTTCCTTACGTATTTATTCATTGACAAAAACTCGAGTTGCGTTCCGTATGTGTGTGTGAATGCGCGCGTTTGTGAGGCCGCCTTTTGCGTGTATTGTGCGAATGTGTGCTTGTGTGTGAGCAGCTCCGGCTTTTGGCTGCTTTACAGAATACATTTTTCGCAATTAATTTGAATAATATATATATGTTTAATTAAAAAACACTAACAAGATTTTCAAACTCACACTAGCCCTGTTTTTTATGTTCAAGCGCAACAGTTTACACAAACAAATTCACCCAGACACAAACTAAACACTTATTTACAAATAAAGATCCTTCCAAAAAATCGCGTTAGACCCTTATAGTGATCGACCATAGGGGGCGCTGCAGTTGCTCCCAACCAAAACGAAAATAGCGGGTGAGCCTCAAGAACCGTTGCATCGAAACAAAATGGCCACGACAGCGGCTGCCGTGGCAGCCACCAGTGTCGTCGTATTGGATCGTGGCAATAATACGACATGCACAATCAACTTGCATGGTAAGCGTGTGTCTGATTGTGTGTATGTGGCTTAAAACCAATAATTAATCATAATTAACCGAAACATAATAATACGCGAAGCAACAACAATTCGCAATTAATATTTTCGGTTTTGGTGTTTCGGAGCTTTTAAAAAAGTTGTTGGCGTTATTTTTAGCGCATGATTAGCAATGCTGTTTTTTTTTGTATTTCACTGTATTTTTGTGTTAAGCATTTTATGGACTTTCGTTTTATAGACTTGAGCCGCGTTCGCGCTGACGCTCGACAATTTATGCAACCCATTGAGGTTATCAGAGATAATACACAGCGGGAAAAATAATGGGTCAAAGTTAAGTTCAACTGAACTCGAATCAAAGTAAACAAATTTTGAAATCAAACCAATTCACATTAAAAGATCAACCCAAAATAAAATATTGATCTGTGTGTGTAATTGATTAAGCCATTTTTCACTGAAAATTGGTTTTTTACTATTTTTTTTTACTTGGTTTCAGAATGTATCCTTCTCAATTCCTTCTGTGGTCCAAGTTCAAATAAAAGCGACTCAACCTTTATAAAGTCAATCTCAGTTAGCTATCAGTTTTACAAATAAAAGCATTTGTTTTCTGTGTACAACAATAAAGTTAACTTACCTAACCTTGCTTATAGTATGCCAACTTTGTTTTGTTCTCATTCCAAATCGACTGCGTAGCCCGCTCAAGTGATTGTCGTAGTATCTTATCAGCATTGTCCAAATGATCTAGCTACGCTCTATTCGCTCTCCCTTGGGGATATGCGCAACTAGACGAAAAGCGGCTTTTTGAGAGATCGTCTGTGCCTGTGTACGGCCCCTACTCACGACACATTTCGATTAGGCGTTATATATATATATATATATATATATATATATATATACATATATACATATACATATACATATTTATGTGTACAGAGCGCACTTTCAACAATTACGACTCGTTCGCCCTGCCCACGTTGTGTTTTTGACGTGGTTTGAGCCACAGCCAGACACATTTGCCACCACAAAATGCGATCCAACTCTGGCAAGTCTTGTGTGCGCTTTGCTTTGAGTCAAACCTTAAACTTTGGCTAGTCTTTTTGATTTCCGCTTGGGTTACACTATATTTACTTTTTCTAAAATTCAAATTTGCAGCTAGGCCTATGCGCAAAACTCTAATTGTAAGCGTTGCTTAGACGTCAGCAGGCTTGCGGCCAAAAACAGGCCCAGTCTTACACACACAATCACACACAACACACACAAACACCCACACGCAGCTGTGTTGCTCCCACCCAATAGTCGAATGGCCATTGAAACTGGGAGTCGGTCTATTGCTCATTCTTCTCACTTTTAGCCGGTTTACTTAGACTTTTCTCTGTCTAGGTGGGTTAGATTTGTGTGTGTGCATATATGCATATATTTATATATATATATATATATATATGCATGTGTGCGTGTGTGTGTGCATTCATCATGGGTGACAATTTTTAAATTCAGTTTTTAATTTAATAGTGTGTCATAAATAGAATGTAATGTAATTGAAAATGTAACACAGGCACAACATTTAGTAAAATGTAAAAAGCAAATGTTAAAAAAGGATCTTACAAAAGACAAAGTGACACTGCTAATGTAATAGTTTGATAAAATTTACATGTCTACATTAAGATATTTGTACCTGCATTTCAACCTGTAAGCCAATGAAATTATGTTTATGTTGTTAAAATAATAATACTTTTATCAAAACTATATATATATATATATATATATATATGTATGTATGAAGAATGATTATTTTATTTTCGGCACACAAAAATAACTCGTATTAATCCTTTTTATTGATATGCTCAATATTAACTTAACTTTATATTGATTTTTGTGGACTTCTATTGCTAATCAAATTTGCTTGTTTTATTTTATATTTTTTACAGGCGCCACAGTTGTGTCTTGGCGTGTTAATAATCAGGAACAGTTGTTTGTCAGGTAAGTTTTTAAATATTACGCATACGCCGCATTGGCGGAGGGAACCACGCGCTTTAAGTCCAAAGCGCACGGGCAGCCGTTTGAAGTTGAAGCAACTTACGCAAGTCCACCGTAACTAACGGTGTGCAACCAAAAAAGTGTTGGGCAAAAGTTTTCAACAGACGAACACATACAAACACAGAAGCACTAACACCCACACGTACATGCACATGCACACTTGGACGTTAGCTGGCCACAAAGGATGCCCTGCAGTATAAACAGGAGCGGGTCTGAGCGGGAGCACGGGTGGGGTAAGGTAGCCTTAGACATTCCGTTTGGCGGCAAAATGTTTTTGTATGGCACAGCAACAAAAACACGGCCAACCAGCGAACCAATAAGAGTCGCAAAAAAGAAAAAACGCGCACTCAGCCAAAGAGAGGCCAGCGCCAGAGAGAACGAGAGTGAGCGAGAGCTTGTTGCAGAGAGCGTGCTGCACATGCACAAAACAGGCCTGCGGACTGGGCAGCTTTAAGGACCGCTCTCTTGCTAGCTAGGCTTCCTGCTCTAACCAACGATAACGAAAAGACAAAGAACAACAACAACGAAAACAATGCGCTGGTTTTTATGAATGAAGTTTTTTGGCGCGGCATCTAGATCGATAAATCCCGACTACGACTACATGATGTGCCATGTACACTGTGCATTACTCGCACAGTGGCACAAAATCGTTATACACATCGGTGAAATTGGCGTATTCGCTGTTAGCAACAGCCTTGCATATGTATTGCAATTAAAAATTTTAAGTTTGAAAGCTTTCAGGCACAACTTTGTCTTAGGAGCTGTATTTTTGTGTTCACATTGTTTCCTTAAGTATTTATTGAAATGGAAGTTTCTTACATATTTATCTAGCACTTATTTTCTCCCGTAGTTTAGGGTTTGTTTCTGTTGCATTTAGGCTTTGGGCAACATTTTGTAATGCTTGGCATTCTTAAAATATTTTTAAGAATTTTACATGTTTATAATTAATATATTGTGTATCCCATAACATTTCGTAGGGTATAACTCTGTATGGCAATAATAATAAAACATTTTTTGTTGCCATACAACTTTTTTTGCTTAGATGTGCTTCGCCTGTTTGTCCGAATGTTCGTTACACATTGCGTCGCCTGTTTTCTTAAATGTTTTTTTTATTTTCAAATACTTTTTTTTTGTACGTTGGCGTTTGGAAACCGTGCAACAGCAACGAAGAACTATGAAAATTGCAGCACAAAAACCGCTGCTAGTTCAGTTGAAGTTGAGTCTTGTGGCAAAAAGCAGGGACAAATTTTTTGCGTGTAAGCCAAGAGGAGCTGTACGTGGGGCAACAACTGTGGCCGGAGGAAGGGCCAAAAACAGAGCCAGAACCAGAAACTATAACAGAAAATCAGAGCAGGCAGCTGCAGCTAATGCTTAAAGAGCTGCCACAATAAATGCCACTTGGATAGATTCCACAAAATGCTGCACTGCAAAACTGATCCATTGCACAGCTACAACCTGACAATATTAATGACACAATTGCCCAGTCTCTAAGAAGAGGGAAAGAGCGCCAAAAGGGAGGCCCTGTTGATGGATGCGTCGGCAAATTAGCGCACGCAAAAACTAAAAGGCGAACCAACCGAATCATTCAGCAAAAAGCAGCCAGCCAAACGCCAATTGCCAGACACTTTTTTTCGTGCATCCCCATCTCAAACTGAAGATTCTGAAATTTCTGAATGTCTACGCTGGTTTTTATGCAGCGGGTTCGTCAACTCATGAAAGATATTTTGTCAGCTCAAAAGCTCCCAACCCAAATTAATAGCAATCTTTTCGTTTGTTCCTTCTTAAGAGAGAAAACGCGTTGCTTTTAATTTAGTTTCTTGTGATTTAAAATTTGAATCACTTGGAAATCAAGCAAGACGTATAGTTTTTTGTATTCCAGCAATACTCAGCTCACATTAAATTTGTTTGAGAGGGCTGCTATGATTAAATAATTAATTATGAATTATAAAACTGTTTTGGGCGTGCTGAAATAAATTTGAAGTACTCCTTGTTGTTTAATCTTATTTTGAAATCCATTGAGGTTTATTAAATTCCTTTTTTAATTTGTAGTTCGATTTAGATTCATTTTAAGTTTATTTTTGGCTTAGCTAGACAATGACAACATCTAAATAAGTTATACTTTTAAAATATTTCTTAAACGAAATTTAGATTTTTTTTTTAAATAAAACAGAAATTTTTAATATACGGAATTTCTTTTATACACTTTCAGTAAGCTGGCGTCGTTTGATGGCAAAAAGGCGATACGTGGTGGCATACCCTTTGTATTTCGTAAGTACAGATTCACACATGCTAATAGAACGCTGCGTTACTCTTACCCAATCTTCCCTAATTTGCAGCTCAATTTGGACCCTGGTCCTTCGGACCACAGCATGGCTTTGCAAGAATCACGCGCTGGCATTTAGATCGCGCACCTGAACGCTTACACAATGGCGATGTGGAGGCAATTTTCTCGCTAATGGACAACGAGTTTACCCGATCTATATGGAACTATCAGTGGGTATTTAATGGGTCTATCAATACAACATAATGCATGTGCAAATACTTTAAAGATTTCGCATCACCTACCGGCTGATACTGCGCGAGAAAGAGCTACACTTTCACATTGGCGTCTATAATCCTAGCAAAGATCTGAGCTTTACATTCAACATGCTGCTCCATACCTATCTAAAGGTGCCAGATGTTCGACGCTGTCAAATAACTGGACTACAGGGCTGTCATTTTATAGATAAGACACGCGAGGGTGCTTTGTATCAAGTAAAGTTAGAAGTATCTTCAAATAACTATAAATTTACACTGTGTATTCACTTTCAGGAGGGTCGCGAGGTAGTCACAGTCAATGAGTGGACAGATCGCATCTATCAGCATACACCGCAGGAGCATGTGATTACCAATGTGGTATCCGGCCGTAAGATGAGGCTACACAAATACAATTTTCCAGATACGGGTGAGTTTCGAACAGCTTCTGTTAAAATTACGTAATTAATGTTAATCATTTGATTAACATAACATACAATGTTTTTAAAAGCTTACCAATTTAAATAACTAAAGGGTCAACAAAATTTTGAATTTATTACGATTGTCATTTAATGATTTTTGCTTCAAGCCCATTTAATTTGCTTTTAAAAAAATCCCAATCTATACTCACAGCTAGCCAAAACGCCGACCGTGAGGAGTTTTGCTAATGTTTAATGTTTTTTTTTATGCAAACAAATGCTGTAAAAGCTCACAATTTTTTTAATATTTGAAATTCCCCTAAAATAGTTATTTAACAGTCGCTGCTCGTTAACAGTCACTGATTATTCAACCTTTAAGTTAACATATCACCTCATTTGATAGCAGCTGTTAAATTTGTACTAAACTGTTATGCGTTCATCTCTATAACAGCTTGTTACAGCGCGCCATGGCTAATAATTTTGCACGTTATTTTATATTTTCTGGTCATTTTCAGTTATTTGGAATCCGTGGATTGATCGATCACGTGAGATGAGCGACTTTGGCGACGACGAATTCCCCAATATGTTGTGCGTAGAAGCTGGCAATGTCAGCTCACCAGTCATACTGCTACCTGGCACCTGTTTCGAGGCCAGCCAGATACTACAGGTATTAATATACATTTATATATAATGAAACGAGATATTATGTTTAAGCTAAAACTAAAATCATGCCCACAGCAATTCAAGTGTCCCTATAATTTGCAGTTACCACCTGCCAAATTAGTACAAGAAAATGCCATGCAATTTGTTCGTGATTTCTATATTATGTAAACTATTGATTAAATCTGTGATTTTTTATCTATATAGATCATCATCGAGGGCAATGTAAGTCGCAAGACCAAACGGAATCGCTAGCGTTTAAAGAATCGGAACCCGTTGAGGTAAACCGATTCGCAAAACATTTGACTGAGAACCTGAAAAGTTTTCGAAAGGCACAGCAGAAACACATACACATTAGGAACACTGTCAGCTATTTTGGATAAGTGTAAATCTTAAGTTCCAAATCCACTAGCAATATTGAGACCCAAAAAATTTTAAATTGTAATGGTTTGTAAACCTAGTGCTACATGCTATATATGCAAAACTTTATTAATCGCTCACATTGAATGGGTTCGTGTCGTGTCCAAGCTAATTAAATGATAAACTAAATGAAAAATACTTAAAATACATATTAAATTGTGCATTAACTAAACTAAATGAGCGTTAGGCTCGCATAGGTAGTGTATCTAGACTGCAGTCAATGTGGTTATGTGTATACGAAACGATTTATAGATACAGCATAGTTTTAAAATCGTCTTTGTGTAAAATACTAAAAAAAAAAAACAAGCTAAATAAATTATCAATTAGTTTGTTCTATGTCAGTTATAGTTGATAATTAAAAATTAAAATATATAAATATATATATATAACATTGTATGCAATCATTTATTATGTTTATCATCCGCGGGCAACCAAGAAGCAGATGCAGCTTCCATAAAATTATACATTGAATGAGTGATATTGCCCAAGATACGTTTTTTATCTGAAACATCACGTGGCTGTAAATCAAAATATTATATTTTTGATTAAATTATTAACCCATCCCGACTTACTTTATAATAATCATCGAAAAATCGAACGCCAATTACAAGTTGAAACCCGACAACTCCCAGGAATAATAATCTTATCAGTTTCAACATTATTTGAACAGTTCTTTATAGATTGTTCAAGTAAAATTGCTAATCTAACCTACTCGGGCTGTTCAATGTAACTGTGAAACTATGCTGCGCAAAGCTTCTATATATCTGAACAGAAAGGCCCAGTTCTTGGAACACAATCTATAACATCTGCACATCTGGCAGCCCAACTTTTGATTATAGCTTCATTTTATTGTTCATTTCCAGCTGTTAATATCACTTTCACAATAGTGGGAAAAATTCATTGCGCTGTTCTTAAGAACACCTGTTCAACGACCAAGGGAAAAATCCTCAAATGTACCGTAGATCGTGACATTCCAAGTTATAAACGCTTTGGCGTCCCAGTAAGAACTAATAATGGTAAGCAGACGAGTAAAAATAGCTAATTTCAAAAGCACATAAACAAATATTAACTAGCGCTTTAAAATGACCTAATTATTAATGCTAATTCGCAGCACTTAGTTCACAAATCGTAGTAAAATAAATGTACTTTAATCACTTGGTCGCAATCTATAATTAGCTTAGGTTTATTAGATTTCTTGGTTTTATGTTTTATCTTAGATTAGGTTTTCGTTTTTTTTTTTTTACAATACATATATAAATTAGGCGTTTCTATAATGTACCCTACGCAATGCACTCGCAATTTGAGCGACGCCCAACTAAACTCTTAAGTTTCTCAATCGGCGTTTTGTCGGTAATTAAAGCGCATCAGCAGGCAAAAAGGAAACTTATAGCAGACTTAGTTGAGAGTTGAGAGCTAAACAGCTTAAACAAGATTTTACACATGGCCTTTTGCAGACTGCTAGGCGTTCTTTCACATATTTATATTATACGCAATAAGTATTACGATCAAATGATATTGCAGGGATAGTTTGGTGTACAGCATAGTGTGCCAGTGTGATGTCTCTTAGGTATTAATCAATTTTCACGGCACCATAAATTTTCAGTATGAATATATAGGCAGCAAAGAAGCCGATGGAGCCGGTCAACAGCCAGAATGTTAGCACCATGAGACCTAAAAAGGAATATAAATTATTTAATCACTCCTTTTAGTTGCCTTTCTTCGTCGCGCACCTGTGTAGCCCAAGTAAAGTAGCGTGGGTATAAATTCTGTAATCTCCAGCTTGGTAAAGAAGTAAAATATGCTATAGAATAGCACATACACAGCCGAGCCACCGGAGACAATAAAGCTGCGCCACCACCAGCGATAATCCTGCGTAGATTAAGCGTAAACCAATCATGATTTAAATAAAGTATTGTATACAGGATTACCTCGCCGCACAGCTGAAAATATGTCATGACAATCGATATTTGACCGCAGCTAACAACCAGAATACAAAAGACTAAAAACAGAAATCCAAACAAATAATAAAACTGATTTTGCCAAATGGCTGTAAAGACAAAGAAAAGCTCGATAAAAACGGCGCCAAAGGGCAATATTCCAGCCATAAGGGTGCTGTGCAAAGAAAGAAAATGGTTAAGCATCGCTGCAACTTATTAAGGAGCAGGTAACCCACCTCAAAGCGGCATTCATATACCAGTGCTGAGCGGGAACCTGACGTGGTATCATGTTGGTGCGCACTGGATGCTGATACGGCTGCTTGCGATAGCCCAGGTAGAAGCCCAGGTATACCAGAGGCACAGAGATGCCGAACCATAGCAATAGCAGCGATATCATTGTGGTAAAAGGCACTGCGCCGCTCGAAGACTTGTCCCAAATGAAGAAGTTCAAAATGAAGCCAGTGCTGTAATGAAAATAAATTAATAAAAAACAAATTTCAATCACATTAAAGCATCAAACTCACCCGAAGACAATGCCCGGATAGAGCGTGGCTGTTAAGAAGGCGGCGCGCTTCCACTCTCGCCCCTTCATCGTCTTGTAGAGTCGCGCAGCATAGTAGCCCGCAATGGTGCCCATAAAGACATACATAAAAATACCTGAGGTCATTAGAGCGCCGCGTGAAGAGGGCGAAAGCATGCCCAGCATGGCAAAGAATATGGTAATCATGGACATGAAAAAGATTTGAATACCACTGCCGATTATAGCAGAAAAGAGGCGCGTATTTTTGGGCGGACGAAAGACGTCGCCATGCACCAGTTTCCAGCCCGTCTCCTCCAAAGTATCCTCGATGTTATCATCCGTATTATATCGCGCAATGTCGCGCCTCAATGTGCGTATCATAATCATGGTGAGTATGCCCGACAAGAAGAAGACGACTACCAGCGAGTTGATAATGCTGAACCAATGGATCTGCACATCACGCATGCCCAAATAAATATCCCAGCGTGAGGCCCAGCTAACCTTGGACTCCTTCCATACAACAGAATACGTGAAATACAACTGAGTTTCGCCCGAAGGATTAACCACCTGTGGACTTGGGCTATCCGGAAAATTGCAGCTATCGCCCTCAAACTTAATCTCCTTGTTGCTTACAGAACCAGTTATCACCTCAAAGCCAACGACGCGATATTTATCCTTAGTATACATGTGATAGGAGAGTATGAATTTAAGATGATTGTTGATGTACATTTTGTCGCCATCCACTTGGCCCAATCGGTAACCATGCTCATAGGTAACTTCGGCGGGATTATTGACATTGACAATGCGCGTCGCCACCGGTAAATTGTCCACCAGCAAATGCACAAAATACTCGTGTTGTATGCGCTCGGCGACCATGGCCGAATCCTCTTTGCTCCAGGTCATAGGCAAATCTTTCTTATTGCACAGTAGCTTGCAATTGATATTCTCTGCCATTTGGACCTCGTACGGTGTATTGACAATGCGATCGCCACGCAGCACCTCGCCCAAATTCTCCGACTTGAAAATGAGTGTGCCATTCTTAGGATAACAGAAGCGGAGCGAATAATACTGATACGGCAGCTGTGTCCGGCTGCTGGTCATTTTTACCGCTTTCACATCGATTTTTTGGCCACGCACAAACTCAACGGGCGCCACACCGGGCACATAAAAGCAATCGACAATGACGACAACGCTGCTACTGGCAAGCAGCGCCAACATCACCGTCCACTGCAAAAACAAAAAAACAAAATGAGAACATAAACAAATACGATGAGATACAATTGATTGCGTGTCTCTTTTGCCAACGTTTCGTTATCGGCAACTAGCAGCTCACTGCACTAAGTACTTGCATTTTCTGCTGCAGTGTGGCGCCAGACTTACCTGCATGGCTGGATGCGGGTTTCAAGCTTAAATGAAATGCACTAAATGTAGTTATAACTAAAAATTTGCCAATTTATAAACTAGCTAAAAAAATATATTCTCTATTCTTAATGCCTCCTCTAGCTTGCAATCGTCGCCCGCTCAGTGTTGCGCAAGGCTCAAATGTTGTATTGCTCAATAACATTTGTAGTCTGGTATTTTTTCTGTTAATGTCAATTCAGCAGCTGCAAAATTCAAATTCAAGCTTCATAAGTAAATAAATGTATTACTTTAGTTGCATGATTTTGGCTTAATGAAATAAGGAATTTGTGCTTGTAAAAACAAATGTAAATACTTGATATATTCATATTGATATTTTGACGAAAGCTATTTTTTAATAACAGATCAGCAAAATGTTAAATTACGAGCTGCAGGGAACTAATTGAACAGCCAGTTCGTTCCATTTAGTTCATTTAGTTTAACGAGTCGTTTGAGCGAATCTATTCCAAGCGATTCGATACAAGCAGAAATATGTGTCTCAAATAGTGTTTAATGCAAATCTCATTAACTTGTAGCTTCTTTTAGTTTTGAATATTAAAAGCAAACCCTAAACGGTTTGCTCAATTGCTGTGTGTGTTTGCCAGCTCAAAATATTTCACCTGCGTCTACGCTTACTGTGCACTGCTGTTTTTTGTTGTTGTTTGTTCCACTTGTTTCGTGTATTTGTGTGCAAGGACGTTGCTTGGACGCTGTTTACGTTGTGCTCGTCCTTGCTGGTGAAGGCGCAACAATTAGAACGCCCAACAAGGCGGGTGAGTCGGTATGTGTGTTCGCGTGGGAAAATCAATAATAGTCGAAAAACAAGAACTGCATACCTTGTTTGTGTGTGCGTGCAGATATGCGTCTGTGTGTGAACAGTTGTAGGTGTTGCGTACTAAACTTTCTTTTTCTACGAATAGACACAAGCAAAGCAGTCAAAAAATACCAAAAATAAAAATACCAAAACTATAACTTCGTATTATGGAAAATACGCACAATGCTACAGTCGCCTCCAACGCCGCTGCCACCACAGCCGCCAGCAGCAGCACCGCCGACGACAATGACAGCGATAATGATGTGGTCACCGATTTTCTAAACTCCAATTGCAACAGTAATGGCGTCGCCGATGTGTCTGCGCCTCCACCGGTACCACTCCCTTCCATTACAAATGGTGCCACAGCCAAAATATTGAGCCCTGCCCCGCGCGTTACCGTGGAAAGCCAAAATTATTGCATACCCGTTATCAATGCACCTGCAGCAGCTGCTCTGCCCTGTAATAATAACAACAATAGCAATAGCAACAATATGCACCACCACCCCAACAACAACAACATGATACCCACGATCAATGTGACACCCCACAGCCCTGCGTCGGCCTCAAAGTACAATAACATATTCGAGGACACACTGAGCCAACTGCAAAACATACGTGAAACGGTGCAACAAATGAAAAACTCCTCCAGCCAGCATCAACAAGATGGTCTGGGCAACAATTATGGATTGCTCAATGCGGCCATACTTAGCGCCTCGCTGCCCGATCTCAGTAATGTGGGCGCTTGCGCCGCTGGCGGCATCGGCGGCAGCAATGTTGGCGTCATGTGGTCAGCGGCACCACAACAATGCTTGCTGCTGCACACGGATCGCCGCAAGTCTTGGACGGCCGTGGACGATGCCAATGCCACGGGCGATTGCACTAACAAGAGCGTCAGCCTCTCCAGTCTTGACAGTGAGGAACAGGAAACCATACGCGTCACCGAACAGCGTCGGCGCTCAGCGCGCAACAGCACAGGTGGTGAGTAATTGCATTGGCTGGGACCTCCCAGACCCCCTGGGACCTCCCCTCTCCAGACTTTTATTTGGATTTTTCTAGCTTATTTTTGTAAGTGAACATTAAGACAGTATATTGGCAAATTATTGTATACATCACTTATGTTCTTCATCTAATCGGCCTTAAATTATTTTCCAAGTATTTCGGAGTTGAATGTGGAATCCGCAAGCTGAAAATGGACGGGATTGGTATAAAAAATGGCATTGAACGGGCAATGCCGAGTGATACTTGGTGACAATAGAATTTCTATAATTGGTTCCGTGTGGGCTGGTTTTGTGGCATAAAACTGCCATAAAACTGAATACAATATAAGAATAATTAAGCAAAATGCGTCTGGCATATGCATTGTAGATGCGTTGTCTGTTGAAGGTCGTCTGATGATCCCAATGGACAGGTATTTTCTATGGCTAGCATTGTCGAGGGATATTTTATTATTAACCAGATGGGATTATAAAACATAATGTCAACAGCCAGCTTTCCACTTAGTACCCAAGGATTTGAATTTGTTCTCCAAGAAGTTTAAAAATAAATTGGATAAAATGTACAATTTCATAAAAATGTATATAATGTCACAGACACACCATGAAGAAATAAATACGTCCACAAAATTTGATTAAATAAAGCCAAGGCTCACTGTCCAGTTCCATACAAAATAATGTCTTAAAACCGTCTTGTTTTAGGCAGCGTTTAGACATATATTGAAATTGCTGGCATGCTAAAAAATCTCTAGGTTTTCACACAAAGCAAACGCTTCATATGCGCTAATAAGCCGCAGTAGTCGAGGTTTTTAGTAGGGTTCGATTACGATAAGAAGTTCCACAAGAACCGCACGGGGCGTGTTATCAGTGCCCCGTAACGAAGTCCAAGATTAGGTTGCGCATACTTTAGTAAATTATTTAAGTTGATATTCATTTGGCTTTGCCCACTGTTTTCCTTTTTACATTTTCCCTGCAGGCATTTCAACGCACTCGCTGAACGAGGCGGAGCTGGCGCGAGATTTTGAGCGAATTGCCGCAAAAAGGAGTCTGGCCACGGAAATAATCAGCCGGATACCGTTGCAGAAAAGCATCTCGACGTCGTCGATTATTGCCAAGGAGGACATCAAGGCCATAGCGCGCCATCTCACAGATAGCGAAGATGAGAATCAGAGTCTGTTACGTTCGCATGCCAAGATCGAGGTCTACGATCATGTAGAGAAGCGGCCCAAACGCGGCTCCCTGTTCTTTCGCAAAAAGAAACCCAAGGCCAAGACGAAGTCGTTGGTGGGTGGTGTCCAACTAATCGACATGGATGCGCATCTCGAACGCAAGAAACTGACATCGGGTCAGGACTATTGCGATGGCTCTGAGGCGCTGCAACAGCATCAACAGCACCAACTGCTAGAGCAGGAGGATCAACAGCCGCTCATACGCGCCGCCGAGCTGCAGTTTCTCAATGAGCCGCCCATTGAGGCGCAGGATTTGGGCGCCGATCCAGCTTTAGGCATTGTGCTGCAGGAGCCCGACTCCTGGACGCCCAATGTGCCCAAGGAGCAGCTGAAAACGCTTAAGGAGCTACAAATCAAGCGTCAGGAGCATATCTACGAATTCATCATGACCGAGAAGCATCACTGCCAGACGCTGATTGTTATGCGTAAAGTCTTTGTGGAGAGTCTGGAGCGGCATTTTCCGGCACTCAATACGCACAGCATGTTCCCGCGCCTGCAGCAGTTAACCGAGCTGCACACTTGTTTTTTACGCCAGCTGCGCCAGAAACAGCGCGAACATCTGCTGGTGGACAGCATTGCGGACATACTGCTGGAGTTCTTCTCGCTGGAACAGGCGCAATGTCTGCGCTTGGCATATGGCGAATTCTGTGCCAATCATCGCACCGCCCTGGAACAGTTCAAGCAGTGCCTGTCGGAGCCCAGTTTTGCCGAATGGTATAAGCATTGCCTGCAGAATCCTTTGCTCAAAAAGAAGGGCATACCGGAGTGCATTTTGTTTGTGACCCAGCGGCTTACCAAATATCCGTTGCTGATCGAACCGCTGCTCAAGAGCGCACGTGATAATAAACTGGAGACGGACAAGTTGCAGCATGCCTTGAATCTAGTTAAATCGCTACTGGTTGACGTGGATGCTTGTGTGGCGGAGAAAGAGCTGCGTGAGCGACAGCTGGAGATTTATGGGCGCGTTGATGCCAAATCTTTTGCTATATATAAAAATAAACCCTTTCGCAAAACCGAACTGGGTGTGGAGTCGCGACGTCGCCTTAAATTCGATGGACTGGCCACGCTGATGCAGGGTCGCGCCAAGACCCAACTGGTCTTGGTTGTGGTGCTTACGGACTGCCTGTGCTTTCTCAGCGAAAACTCGGCGCATAACAAATACGCATTCTTTACGCCCGAGCACAAGGCGGGCGTGGTGCCGCTACAGAAGTTATTAATACGCGAGAAAGCAGGCACCGAATCGCGTGGTATTTATATAATCAGCTCCAATCCCGATTTTCCTGAAATGTATGAGCTCAAGGTGCAAACGCCAAAGGATAAACAAACCTGGATACAGAGCATCCGGCAAGCGGTGCTCGATTGTCCCGCCACGGATATTATTGAAGCGGAGGCTCTCACCGCCGAGGAGAAGCTGCGCATTGGCGTCAACAAACGCGAGACCATTGAGAAGATGCGTCAAAAGGACATCGAACAAGCGCTGCTGCTGGAAGAAAAGCTGTTGCTTCAGTTCAATCTGCTGAAGCAACAACAACCGTTTGGGGATCTCAATATGGCCAATATGAATGGAAGCGCAGCCAATTTCTTGGCCGCCTTTGGCTCCTACAAGGAGTTGGTCAGTACAGACTGCGACACCACGGAGCTCTGGCGTCGCGTGCTCAACACCGTGCAGGATATTAGCCAGCTGGCGGCGAGCATCTATAGTGCCGCAACGGGCCTGCCCGTCTCGCGCACCGTCAGCAGCGTGGGTGAGAAACAGAGCGTGCTCTATGCCTCACCCACGCTGCCAAAGCGCGCCGAAACCTTTGCCGGTTTCGACGAGAAGCGTGGCAAGCTGGGCCGCGATGCCAAACTGACGCCGCGACTGCAGGAGCTGGAGGAGAAGCGTGAACTAAAAACCCAAACGCCCACAGAAACGCCATCGCCTCAGTTGCAATTGCAGCTGCATGCAAGCACGCTGCCCGCCAACAGCAAGGAGCATAACTATGCGGTGCTGCAGGTCTCGCATCATTTGCACACGCTCCTCTGCATTATCTCGCAGCAGATGACCTGCATACAGAGTCTGCAACTGCAGCTTGCCCTGTATCGCGAATCACCGCGGAATAGCAGCGGTGGTGGTGGCGGCGGCGGCGGTAGCAGTGGTGGTGGTGGTAGCGGTGCCTCTGCCTATACGCACAAGGATCAGCTGGAGGAGCTGCGAAATTTGCAGGATAAACTGCAGGAGGAGAAGACCGCCTGGTTGCGTCAAAAGCAACAGCAAATGGACGAACTGGCTGAGATGCGTGCCCAGCAGCTAAATTTGCAGCAGCAGATCAAGGCCGAGCAGGAGGATGTGCGTCAACAGCGCGAGCAGCTATATCGCAAAATGGAGCTCCTGTCCAGTCAGGGTCTGTTGCTATCGCCCAGCACGCCGTTGCCAACGCTATCGCCAGCGCTGGCGCCCGTGGCAGTGCCCGAGGATGCACACGAGCTGGACACGCCCACCGGATCAGCGGGCGGCACATCAACTGCCTCCACAATTGATCGACGCAAAGAGAAGTGGCTCACCGGCAGCTCCAATTGCAAAACTCCGCCGGTGCATTTGCTGAGCGCCAATAATGCGCCCAAGGCGAATTCAACGCTGGTCAAACAAAAGCTGCCCATGAAACTGTCTTCATTGTCCTCCGGTACGCGTGTGGACAAATCCGCCAGCTTCAATAATAGCTCCAATAGTGTCGGATCGCCAGCTGCAGCCTCTAGTTCCAGCGGCGGGGTGCAGCAATTGTTTCCACTCAAACTGGCCGATAAGCATCGTCAAATGGCCACGCCCACGCCCGCGCCTCAACATGCGCGCACCGGTAGCTCACCGGCCATCATACAACAAGCCACAACGCCTGTTGCCGCGAATATAACGCCAAATGCGGCTGCTCACTACGCAGGACAGCAGCGTCTGGGGCAAACGCCAACGAGCAGCCGCAATGCGCATGTATCAACAGCGCGCGGCACAGCTACTCCTTTGGCCAACTCCGGGCAGGCTCCACGCGCCAAACCCGAGGAGGAGGAGATTTACTTCTGACGCAAATTCACGCCAGAGGTCGAAATATAAAGCCCAAAAATAACATTCCGATTGCAGCTCAAAATATGGTATAATTTGCCAAAAAAAAAAAAAAAAATAGTTATTTCACTTACCCAATCAATTCCCACGGCTTGTTTCGGTTTTCAGTGTTCCGCGTACGTTCCATTCTAGTATTTTACGCGTGCGAATGGGATAAAGAATTAATTAATATCGAGGATGCTATCCTTTCCGCTCTGTCGATTTTTCGTTTCGTTCCAGTATGAGAGACTATGAGAATGATTAGATATGTTATATTTAAAAGTCCAAATTTAGTTAAAGGATATCAGTCCGTTCAGTACAATTTTCTATTGTATGCATTTATAAAGCTACGTGTTTCATTAGTGTTTCAGTAGTATTCTATATAACAGACAGAGACATTACTTTAAAATATCTGCAAATATTGTTCTAATCAGCAAGCGTTAAATATGAAATGTGAAAAAACTACTTCATTTCAGAAAAGTCCTTTCCCAACAATGCGGAATAAAAACCTATAAGAGAGACTCGGACAATATAATAATAATTATCATTTCAAAAATAAGTTTTATTAACATATCTTCAAAAAATTAGAGATTAAGATTAAGCATAGAAACGGAGAGCAGCAAAAATCGAATCAGTTCTTCCTAATGCTTATATAAATATAATTATTTTTGTTTTACAAAATGCATGGCAATATTAATATATCATATGCTGGAGTCAAAATTGGGATTTTTTTTTAAGCGTAAGACCAAAGTCAAAAAATTTAAGAAAGAGTCTTGTTCTTCGAAATTATCCACATAAATAATTTGAGTAATATGAGAACCAAAACATGCCCGAAAAAAATATATATTTTCCATTGTATATATATTTTTAATATAAAATCCCTTTTAATCTTGGCAAATTATACCAGTAACCAAGCATCTCAAAGCGCGCAGTTTACTCGTGTGTTGAGTGCTCGTCCATTAACTTAAGTAACCCCAAGTCTGTGTTTACCAATAATATGTACTTAAAACGTTCCAATATTTTCAACTAAGCATCTCAAAACCTTGCTCTGGAAAGTTTTTATAACTTAAATGTATACTAAAAACTGTTCTTGATAAACTTTTTAAACTATATATGAACGTTGGGTTTATAAAAACTTTGAGCATTTCCTAACAAAAACTTGTCAAACTGTTTTTTAATGTGTTCTAAAATGTGTTTTAAAACTGTCAAATGCATTTCTCTTATCGTTTTTAACTACTTCAATATTTTATAATAATCACAAGTAATTGATACTTAAATGCTCTTAACGTAAACCTAACTATTTATTCACTCGATGTATTTATGCTTATATTTTCATAAAAGCTTATGAATTTTATTTCAACTAACTCCACAATGCAATTTAAAAATGTATTACAAAGAAATAAACAAACAAGCTCTAGGTGTTAGAAAACGATTACTGAAACGTGTATGTATGTTAAAAACAAAACAAAATATATAGTCGCGTCTCTATACAAAAACTAGTTTTTTTAAGCCTATATACAGATTATATAAACAAAATCTTTATGTGAACATAACCTTAAAATAAGTAACTGGACTTAGATGAGCTATATACTGTTTAATATTTACAAAAACATGTCTGCCAGCAAAAGGTCTTAAATATTATTTCAGCCTTTTTTTTTTATATTTTTTAATATATCAACAAATTTAAATAATAATACATTTATGTAAACCTTAAAATAGTTTTGATTTTTATTTTTAATGCTCAACTTTGTAGTTAAATAACAAATTTTTTGATATTAAATACAGAGAACGTTCGCTTACTGAACAATTTTAGAACTTTCAAAATCTCAATATTCGGAAAATATTTATGAGTATACACAAAAAAAAATTAAATACAATCTAAAAAGGGAAATGAACTTTTAAACTTTTAATATGAATATATTTCATATAATAAAGAAAAAACCTTTAAAACGTTCGAGATTAAAAATTGGAATTTCTTTTTAGAATATTCAATTAGTAATTGTTTATCAAATGCCAATTCTAAGCAGTTATAGTTTTCTAGCATTCACTGTGTAGATTTAATTTTTTTCCAGAGATATTTACATTCATTTGTGTCAAATTTAATATCATGATTTGAAATATTGCCATTTTATTTACAAATTAAATAGGGCATGTTCAACGAGTGTTAAGCAGTATATGGCTAATTTAATGCTTTGCTCTTTTCAAGATCTTCAGCAAATAGAGCTTTAAATATTTGTTTGTTAAGTGTGGATCAATTTACGACACACATAAATTTTATATACAGAATGTGTACCTTAACTGTGCGTGTGTATGTTACATATCTATTTTTTTGCGCTATGCAGCTATATACATAACCGATATCTGTTGCTTGCTCCAATAAATGTTTAAAATTAAATTGAATATAATTACAGAGGTAATTGTTTTTATGTTTTGATCAGTAGTCAAAATCGGCTTTGCGCGGACACTTTTGGCGCGTGTGTCCTTCGGCACGGCACAGGCCACAGCGACGCGTGCGACTGCCAGTGGGAGCGGTAGAGCCCGTGCTTGTCTTGGCGTTGTCCCTCGATGCATTCGAGCTGCCTGCTAATTGGATAGAGAGTATTAAATAGTCGTAGTCATCAATTAGATCCAATGCTCACCTTGTTGCTCATTTGTATCACCCCATTGAAAGAAGCCGCAAGACTTTTCGCGCGTTTCACACGCATAGAAGGGTCGTCCTTGATTGGGCCCATCTTTGCGAACGGTCAGACTTTTGGCTGGTTTGCCGCAGTTGCAATTTACGGCGTTGGGTTGCATGGGTTGGGTGACAATCACAGTGCTGCTGCCATTGGAGCGTACATTGGTGCCAGCACCACGTTGATTGCTTCGAGAACTAGTCGCCGACATGTTGCTGCTGCCCCACGGCTGAACGGCGGCTGTGACAGCGCTTGTGCCCCAACTAGAGGAGTTGTTGTTGTGGTTGCTGTTGCGGGTATTTGATGCCTGGGAACTGCCAATTCGTGTCTGTGCCGCTGGCTTTGTGCTCCAACCTGAAGCATAGTTGCTATGAGATTCTTGAGAATTCCCAGCGCTCCGTTGCGAAGTTCCTTTTGTGCCCCAAGAATTATTGTCCTGCGAGTTCCCTGTTCCTTGCTGAACAGCTGCTTTTGTGCCCCATGAACTGGTATGCTGCAAGTTGCCTGTTCCTTGCTGGGAAGCTCTTCTTGTGCCCCAACTAGAGGAAGTGCTGCCACTGCCCCATGTATTGGCTTCCAATGTGCCGTCCATACCTTGCTGAGCAGCTGCTTTTGTGCCCCATGAACTGGTCTGCTGCGAGTTGCCTGCGCCCAGCTGACCGGATCCTCCTAAATGGCCGGTTTCCTGAGATTTGCCTTTGTTTTGTTGCTCTGCTGCCTGTGCGCCCCAACTGGTTGTGCTACTTCCGCCACCCCATCCACTGTTCATCTGCGCTCCTGCAGATCCTCGTGTACCCCAATCGCTTTCTGCCATGGCGCCTGCTGTAGGGCCATGTTCATCTGCCCATTGAAAGAATTTGCACTCCTTCGGCTTAGGGCATTTATAGTAAAGTCTGCCATGGTTGGGTCCATCATTACGCACAGTTTGCTGCCGCCCCGGCTGATGGCAGCCGCTGCAAAGCACCACAGGAGCAGCAGAATCTGAAGGAACAATATTTTCATTCAATCGCGGCCGCTTCGCCGTTGGCTGCGCCTCTGCAGCAGCACGCGCCTGCCTGCCCCATAGCATTGGCTGTTCTTCGGCCTCGTACGTTTTGCGCATCCATTGCGTCAAGCTGGTGTCTAAATTATCTGTTGTTGGAGCTGTTGGTTGATTATTGCTGTCGCCCGCTTCCAGAAGCGCCTCAAAATCTGCATCATCCTCGGCAGCAAAGATGGCCGCAATGTCTGTATCAAGTTGTGGATTTGGAGCGGCACCTGATTCGGCCATGGCTGCAGCAGCTAGTAGTTGTTCTTCGAAGCCATCGTTGCTGTCGAAGAAGCCATCCAGGTTGGCAGTGTCCTGGTTGGTGCTGGTAAAGTAGTTTCTAATGCCGCCTGTTGTTGCTGCAGCGGTCGTGCGCTTGGTTTTGGTTGCCTTTTGCGGGCCCTTGGTTGTTTCATGTGAAGTTTTATTGCTGCGCTTCGTTTTAGCTGGCTTTTGAGTTTCTGAATTGGATGCAGTGCCCCAGGAGCTGCCACCGATGCCACCTGGAGGACCACGTGGACCAGAACCACCGCCACCTGGAGAGTCGCGTGGACCAGAACCACCGCCACCTCCACCTGGACCACGATCAGATCCACCGCCACCACCTCCCCCTCCTCCTGGTCCACCGCCTGAACCCGGCGCATGCCCAACGATGCCGCCCACCCGCTTTACTTGATCCAGATTAATATTAAAGGTGCTCCTAAAGAGCTCATCACAGCGCAAGCAATTCTTGTACCAGCCATGTGGCGCATTAAACAGACTACGATAGTAGGCGTTGCTTAAGCGAAACTTAAGCATGTGGTACCCCTCACCACAGCTGGGACAGCACTCGTCCAGCACGCAGTACTCCTTGCAATCCTCAGGCAGCCAAATGACATTCTTACAGTCGGGAAAATTGAGACAACCTATAAAAAAACTCGTCTGAACCTTCTTGGGCTTGAGCACCAGAGGCGCCAGTTCGCATTTGGGACATTGGAAGAGCTCGCGCGGTATGTTTATCGATTGCTCCTGCGATGCATCAGAAGTAGCCGCCGCCGCCGGAGTTTCATTAATCCGTTGCGCTATCTTAGCATCCATGGCTGTGATTTTTTCCATAATCTGTTGATAAGCCTGCTTATACTTTGCTATTTGCTCTCGCAGCACCAGCTTAGGGTCTTTTTCGCCTAGGCAAATGCGTTTAAGATCCGCTTCAAATTCAGCACGCAGCAGCGGCTTGGCCAAAGCCAACTCCATGGCATCATAGCCCTCGTACAGGCCCATGCCAATGACGCCCGGCACTAAGGCGCCCTTGTCCACAACGCCTATATATCCCCGCTCCTTGATGGTATTAATGTGCTCCGCATGAGTGGCATCTGTTCCAATGCCATGTTTCTCCATCAGCGCTATGAGATCCGCTTCGGTAAGCAGCGGTGGCGCCGTTGTTGCGCCCTCGTGCAACACAATCTCTGTGGGCTCAAAGCGCTGGCCCTGCTCATAGTTGTGTATCTGCTTGGCGCTCCACTTGTCATACACATAGACATCCAGATAGTTTCGCTCGTGTATGACCAACCCATTGGCGCTGAACTTCTCTCCGGCAATGTCTATACTAACAATTGTCTCCGAGCCGACAGCATCCTTGCTGACGCAGGCGAGAAAGTGACGCACGACTAGCTCATAGACGCGTGCCTCGTTGCCCTGAAGATCTGCGGGTAGAGTTTTAACATAAATGTATCTATTAGCTTGGCTTCCTCCGTGCAAAATTTGCTCTTAAATTTAAAATAGGTATTACGGCCTTTTTTAGAACGTCCGTGTGGATTTTCCAATATTGGAGCATCGCATATTCATAAATTTTTCCGCAAAGTTTGGAACTCACAATTTGCACATGAAATCAGTCATCCATCATCAGAACAAATAGTTAAATAGATTACTTTTACAGCGTTAAACTTACTTGTGACCATCTTCGTGGGGTGTATGGGGGGATGCGCCTGATCAGATTTGTTGCCGTTCCGTGGATTTGGTCCCCATTCCAGCACACGCTGTGCGAATGCGCCCCACGCCTCGTGGCCAGTATGCTGCTCAACGAGTGGCGCCAGTTCGAATTCTTTGGAGAATTGATTGGTCTCTGTGCGTGGATAGCTAATAAAACCCTTGCTATATAGCTTTTCTGCTATGGTCATGGTCTCTTTGGCGGATAGCTTTAGTTTGCGTGAGCCCAACTTTTCCATTTCCACGGTATCCAGCGGTGTGGGACGCCACTTGTGCTTAGGCTTAACTGTGACGCTCTCTACAGTTGCGCGCGGCTCTGGCTCAGCCAGGCAGAGCAGCAAATAGTTTTCGCATGCCTCCTTATCAAACAAACGATTACGCGCCCAATTAAATTCCACCGTCAAATCCTCAATGGTGTGCAGCACTGCAAGAGTAAGAGCACTGCATTAGTAACGTCATCTTAAGTTTATGCTAAATAGTTACCCCTGATTTTCCAGAAGGGCTCGGAGACAAATGCTTCGATCTCCTTGTAACGTTCTGCCACAAAGCCCAGCGTGGGTATCTGGCAGCTGCCATACGAAATGAGCTTGTCTGCAATCTTCTCAGGAAACAGGCGTTGCAGGCGCAACGTTTGGAAACGTGTAATTGCCGCGCCCGTGCGCAGATCCAACTCCGAGCGCACATCCACCGCATCACTTTGGCGTTTATCCGGTTGTCCCAGCTGCAGCAATGCGCGGCGCACTGCAGTTGTCGTAATCTCCGAGAAACTTGCACGATACACCGTCAAATTGGGTTTAATAGCCCTGCATACATCAATAATCTCATAGCCAATGTTCTCGCCCTCGCGATCGCAATCCGTCCAGATGATCAGGCCCTGACAGCCGCGTACTTCGCGTTCCAGTGTCCGCTTAATGGGCTCATAGTTCTCACCGACGCTTTTGCGTATGGGCGCATCGAAAAGCGAACGTGGATCCACATTGCGCCAGTTGCGGTACGAGACGAGAAACTCTAATTGCATCAAATGTCCCGACACAGAGGTCATAACCATTTTGGCATTCCGACCGCGCACCTGTGCCTCGAAATCGTACACTTTATTGTACACAGAGTAGCCTTCACGCTAGAATTATTATTTATAAACCAATGTGCAATCCAATATATAATAAACTTGTTGCTTACCCGATGCGCGGATCCATTTGATAGGAGCCCGGCAATCGTTTTGGCCGCATCATTCTTTTCGGCCACATTTAGAAACTTCATGTCCTTTGATAGCTTAGAGTAGTATCGCGCATATTTGGCTAACCGTAAGCATTTTAATGGGCTAAGAAGCATTTAAAAACAATCCAAGAGAAAAACCCATGAATTCCCGCCACAATAATTATTTTTCATAGAGATGTGTTATGCGCGATGAAGTCGATAGAATTATAATTTCAGCACTAAATATTGCCTATCGACAAGCCAGGCATGCAGAAACAGGAACTATCGATATACTGGTTAGTCGCTTGTCGTTGGATTCAACTTATCGGATTCTCAATAGGCGCTTGTTTGAATAGAATAGAATTTTGTATACCACTAAATTTTGGCAAAAGTTGTGTTACTAAATAAACAATAATTTTGCGGCTCATAGAAAAGCCTTACTAAATTAGCATGATCATTTGAGCGAAAATCTGAGACCTTCCCATTTCTGCGTGTCAAATGCCACTTTGAAAACGAAACAAGTTTTTTGTTTTATGTGAAATTAATAGCAAATACGAAACTATTTACTTTATTTATTATACTCTCTCTATAACTTGCTTTTGTATTCACGTTGCTGTTTTTTGTTTTAACTTTGATTTGCTTTTACCATTTTTTTGTTTAGTAATTTTTTGCTTTTTTTGTTTTTTGTTTTATCTGAACATAAGGATAGCGGGAAAAGTATGTAAATACAAAGAAGTACCTAATATAAGATTGCTTAATCAATGCATTTGTTTTGCATTTATAACGCATAGTTGTGTAGTTGTTGTTTCTGTTCTAATTTTGTTGTTGTTTGTTATTGATGTTATATACGGCTCTTGTTAATTGTGGACTATATATAGGCGCTTAGCTAATTGCAGTCGTTGACCGAACGCAATGTACATATACATTTATAACTTATATATTCCGTAAATATTAGTAATATTAAGAGCGTTTCTTTTAATTTAAGACGTATATCGATTATTAGCTCTTGGATTAGAAATAGAGCTACCAACAGTTGTCCTGTGTGTGTGTGTTGTTTGTTGGTGTGGCGTGGCGGCCTGCCTTTTAGTTTAAAATATGGTACATAACATTAGCATATTTTTTTTTTAGTTTTTTTTTTGTTTTTGTATACAATTAACGATGTTTGCCTTGCATGCATACATATTTAGATATATATCTATATATATATGTGTACGTGCACGTTTTGGATATAGAATAACAACAAATAGAAATACAGTTAATGCTTTTCTAACGATTATGAGCCGCATGGAGGTAACCAGCCACTAGGAGCAGCGCATGGCGTTACATCAACGACGCCAGGAACGATCCTCAGACTCTTCGTCCTCCTCCTCATCCTCGAGCCGCAGCTCTGGCAGTGTATCGCTGCCCAGCACAGATTCGCTCTCGCTGACCGATGAATGCAACAATTGCTTGGGATTATCCAGTTTATCGCCAGCCGGTGAGGCCAACGCTGTCGGCGATTTATCAGCCGGTGCGCCCATGGGCACAGCGGCCGGAGCCGCCACCACGGGGGCCCAGGATATCTGCAATTGCAATGGTCATGCTTATCGAAAACAATCTGAGGCTTCATTTGGGCTCACCTGCAACCGTTTGTCTTTGTACATTTTGCCGCGGAGCACTGCTTGCTCGGCATTTAGACGCGTAGCATAGGAGAGTATCAGCTGGGGAATCTCACGGTCCACATCGTGTTTCGATATTTCGCCGAAATGCTGCAAGATCCAACAATTTATTAAGTGGGCTTTAATTGAAATGGGTTTTCCGATTGCTCACCTTAAAGTGACCCAGCACAAAATCGGCTTCCTCGGCTGCAAAGCCGGTGACCACAATCGCTTTTGTTCGTCGATCTACACGCGTGGAGCCTTCAGGATATGTGGCACGTTTGCGTGCACCGCCACCGGGCAATTTGGCACCACCGCCAGACAATGCGCCGCCACCAGCTGTGGCTGAGAGCGTGCGCTGCAGCTCCTCTAAACGTTTCTGTATGGCCGTTGTATCATTTCCTTCCTGCTGCTGGGCAATCAGCTCCAGTTCCATGTCGAGCAGTTCCTTCTTTTGTTGCTCTTTGGTTTTCTTAACGGGCAGCGTTTGTTGTTGTTGTTGCTGCTGTTGTTGTTGCTGGATTTGCGCCTGCAGCTGATCCTGATCGGCGTGCACATCCTTGCGCAGCTTATCAATTGTCGCCTGTAGTACTTTGATCGTTTCCAGCGTCGGCGCACGCTGCACATCCTGCTGATCCATGCGTTCGACTAGTTCAAGCGCCGTTTTCATTTGTTTCACATAGCTCTGGAGTAGTTCTTGCTTGCGCTTACGCAGCCCATTCGCCAGCTGATGCATTGCCTTCTGTTGTTCTTCTTGTTTTTTGCGTATGCTCGCCGCATTTGCCGCCGGCGTTAGCGCCCGCACGCCACCGTTTGCTGCCGCATTGGGTGTGGCGTTTGTATTGAGCTTTAGACGCATGGATGCGGGCGCTGCGGTGCTGGCAAGCGCCTGTTCCGTTGTGGGCACTGTCAAAGCATTATTTAAGCTGCCCGTTTCGCCAAGGGGTTGGGTCTGATTGGCATTATTGCTGTTGTTGGTAATCTTGGCGCTGTCCGCATTCGGCGTCGGTACCGCGGGCACATTATGCAAGTGATATTGACTCTTGCGATTCACATTCGAGTTGCCCGCCTCATTGCTGTTGTTGTTGTTGCTATTGCTGTTGTTGTCGTTGTGCCAGAAGACTTTGATAAAGCGATTATTGAGTACCGCCTCGGTGCTGCGGTAGGCTACATTCGCCTCCGCATGCGTGGAGAACGTAACAATGGCCGCCTCAGGATCACCCTCATATGACACTTGGATATTAACAATTTTACCAAATTTAGCAAAATGATTGTTCAGATGCGCAATTGTATTTAGGCCACGCGGCACTTTGCGCAGCTCCAGGGAGCTATTGTGCTGCTGCATATTCGGATTGACGCGCGGTCCAAGGCGACTATTGATGGGCACCTTGCGCATCTTGCTGGGCACATCAGCTATGGCCACGCTATCCTCCAGCTCAAAGCGCCGTTTGCCCATCTCAGCGGCCATGCCACCACCGCCGCCGGCACCTCCAGCGCCGCCATCCATCACGGGTATAGGTATGAGTTGGCGCTGTAGGGGTGTTGTCACGGCTGTAGGATTAAAGGGAAATGGCATCATTGGCGGTGGTGCGGGCACTTGTGGCGCTTGGCCAGGCTGTCGTGCGTAATCAGCGGGATTGGGTACACCCAAAGGTGCACATGCACGCACATTGCCACTGAACGGATTAATGTTGTTTGGGCCAGCCTGGGGCGGTACTGGCAACGCCTGTTGATTGCCTGGGCCTGCGGCAGGCACGCCTGGCACACCGGCTGGTCCACCGCGTGCCCAAATCTCAGGCGCATCTGGATTGTACTCGCGCATAGACATCATTAGTGCTGAATTGTTAATGCCCTCAAAGACTACTGGATTAATGCCATGATCCCATGGACATGTCTCGCCACGCACACAATAGCCCTTCTCATCGAAGTCGCGGCAACGCTGACGGACCATTGCAGCCACTGGATGCGTTACAGGCACCGGCACGGGCGCTGATGCTGCCACTGAGGCGGACGAGCTGGCAGCTGGTTCTATGTTGTTGCTGCGGCGAGCATTGCGCGATTCCGGCGATATGGAGCGACTTCGCGGCGAGTGACGACCCTTGTTACCTCCAAAGCGCTGATTGCGCTCATCCACGTTGTTATTGTTGCTGTTGTTGTTGCCAATGCGGCGCCTGTCAAAAGTGTTATTGTTGTTGTTGCGTCTGTGCCGCTGCTCACCGGCACCGCCCGGCGGCGATTTATTGCGAAACTGTCTCTGGCTCTTTTCGCGCTCATTGATGCGACGATCCCGCGAACGCGAGCGTCTAAACGAGCGATCATTGGATCGTGAACGGGAACGCGAACGGGAACGCAATGAGGCACGACGCCGGCGACTGTCACGCGGCTGATTTTCCTTGTCGGCGGCATAGGCGCCACTACCAGCTGGACCGCTGCTGCGCAGTGGCGGGCTAGCGCTGCGCACAAAACCCGCGGCGCTGACGCCACCTCCACCACCGCTGCTGCTGTGATGATGATGCACTAGCTGCTGCTGATGCTGCTGGCTGTGAGAGTCTTTGGTTTTGTGCTGTAAGCATTATAAAATGTATTATGGGAGGGTGTTTTTAAGAGTGAAGAGAGCTTTACTAACATCGAAGGCTGTCTTGGTGCTGTGTGTTCCCGTTGCGTTGGCATCTGTGGCGATTGAGGCACTGCCGCCGGCGCTAGACGTTTCCGTAGCGGTCTCCTTGCTGTTGTTATCGCTGGTTATTTGCTGTTGATTGCTATCTGGTTTTATCACAATATCTTTTGGCGCGGGTGGCGGTGGCGGCGATGAATTGGCAGCCAACACAGCCTCAATATCGGCCACAACATCCAAATCATGTTCCAGCTCCAGTTCCGCAATGCCCGACGTTGCTGCCGCTGGCATAGGAGCGGGCATCGTGAGATATTCCTCGCTGGCAATGGCATCGAATAGACGATCAACAAAACGTGTAGTCTCCTCGGAGAGAAACACATCCAATTGCTCAATCATGATGCGCTTGAGATCCTTATCCGATTTGTCTTTTTTCAGCAACGCAATTACGTAGCGCGCTAAAGCCGAGGAATCAGCATCGCAGCTATTAAATGACAATTCAAATAAACACAAAAAACAAACAAATGTATATATTTAACAATTTTATAACGAGTAGCTATCGAAGTCACTCGTTAGTGAAGAGTCAATTACTTACAGTGGCTCGAGCACAACGCTCAGCCAGTCCTTGAGCTTATCCGAGTTTTCCAATATCATTTTATTGAATGGTCCCAAATGTTGTATGCCTTCTGCTTGCGTTGGTCTGCGTGCTGCTCTGCTTTTTATTTGTAATCGTTTTAGGGGGGCCAAAAATATACTTATTTTTAATATGACCTCTGCCTCACTCTCTGCTCACTTTTTCACTCGCTGTCTCTCTCTCTCTGCCCGCCACAAAGGCTGTGCGATTGCTGCGAGTTAACTGCACTATACACTATATGTACAATATTAGCTAGAATGCTGAAAAACACAAGCAAAGACAGTTATTAACACTGGTTACTTGCAGAGTTGCTGTTCATATTAATTGAAATTTTCGGTCGATTAAACTCAACGAAAGTGCTTTGTATTTTAAAGAGCTTATCACACACGTTGTTTGCCACCGTTTTAGTTGTTGTTATTATTGTATTAGCACCATTAAGGGCATCAGCATGCATACTTTTAAGTAGGCTGGGCTCAATTTATATTTATGAATTTTTTTTACTCGATTTTCTTAGGATTCAATATATTGATGTAAACTTTGTAGTGACTGACAGCTGGCTTGAACGTACATAGAGTCCACCTCACCACTATGGCAGTCACTCGTTTGTGTATGTTCCAATAAGAAAGTTTCTCGATTTTGCTACCCGATACTTTTGCTTGCGTACTACAGCACACACACACAAACACATGGGCACACAAATTTACATTTGCACGCATACATGCAAAGGTAGCAGCCAAAATTTTGCGCTCGAATTTGGGACATTTTACCAACTCTTTTCTATAAATTAACACTTTGTACACATACCTTATGCACTAAATTTACCATATGCAATAGTTTAGTATAACAAATTACGGTTTTAAATAGTTATTTTTATATTTTTCACTGCACTTTATTGCTGGGCGCAAGGTTGCTTGCTAGAAAAGTTGGCTGCATATCGCACTATAAGACGATAAATAAAGCTATCGAAATCAATAACAGCCCTGTGCACAGCCCTAATTACGATATGTATTATCGGTCTACATATCATCACTAATTCTTGACACACACGGTTTGTTGTAAGGGTTAGTTTATATTTCGTTAATTGCTGAAATTTAGATTTAATGTGCAGCATTGGCGAAGATGATTTTGGTGACGAGGGCGCAACGCATGCTATGCTGCCTGGTTCCTCAACAGTGGGCACTGTTATTACTGCAGGCAGCTGCAATAAGTGCGGTCTCAACTCGTTGGAGCTGTACAAATTGAACTTTCGTGCCGCCGAATGTCATCAATGTTTCCTGAGCTATGCCAGGCACAAGTTTCGTGCGGCATTGGGGGCAGCAAAGGCGCTGCCACGCAATGCTGAGGTTCTGCTTCTGGTAGACGGTAGCGCCGAGTCTTTAGTTCTGCTGGACATGTTACACTTTGCGCAAACGCAAAACACTTTCAAGCGGCTTCACTGCAGCGCACGTGTGCTTCACATAGATGCTCAATCATCGCCGTCCGAAAATGATCCTTTACCAATGCTAAACGAACTGCGTGAACGTTATGCGCCCTTTGAGTTCTATGTCATACAGCTGGGTGCAGAGGTCCACAGCTTAAAGCTGCTTAAGGATTACAGTGCCTCTCGGTTAGACTCAACAGATAACAAATTGCGCAGCTTGACAGCTCGGCAGGATTATGTACGGCAGCAGCGCAAACGGCTTATTGGCGCCGTTGCCCTCCAGCTACAGTGCACTCATGTTTTCGAGCCCAGCATAAGCTCCAGCCTGGCTGCACAGCTATTAACATCCGTGGCATTGGGGCGCGGCGGTAGCGTTGCTTTGGATGTGGCTCTGCTGGACGATCGCCTGCAGGGCGCCGTCACGCTTCTGCGTCCCTTGAAGGACCTCAACGAACAGGAAGTGCAGTTCTATATTAAAGCCCAGCAGCTGAAACCGTTTCGGTCAGATGAATCTAGTCTGTTGTCCGATGCTAGTCTCCAAAATCTGACAAGTGCGTTTGTGGCAAATCTGCAATTGAATTATGCATCGACGGTGTCTACGGTTTTTCGCACGGGCGATAAAATTGCTGCCAAGCGTCAACCAATTGAAGAGGGACCCTCGACTTGTGCGCTGTGCCAATCTGATCTGGATTCTGGGCTCTCCGACACTTTGCTAGCGATTGAATATTCGCGCGCAGTCTCCGAAATGGGCGTTGCACTGCAACAGCAGAATAATATGGAGGCTCTGGAACAACGCGCCAGGGAGCGTTTGAACTCAATGGATAATTTGTGTCACGCATGCCGCAATATACACGCAGAGCTTACTCATGGTAGCTTGATTTAGTTTAAATTGGTTAATTATATTTACATAATTTTTTAAATATCCATTTTATTCGTTAGTTTTGCCTGTGTATAAATTTGTATATTATTTCTATTAACTTTACGCATATTTGTTAAATGGAATCTTGGGTAATAATTTTTCGTTCCATTGGAAAACAAACCAAAGTTCCATATAGGATCTTACAACAAAATGGAGCTATAATTAGCAACGACAAAACAGTTTATATACATATTTAAATTATTTTATAATTTGGCAAGCCGAGTATTTACAAGCGCGCTCAGCGCCAAATGTCCATTCAGGGGCAATACATTGCAGGCAAAATCCACGCGCTCGAAGCCATAGATCATATAGCGATTGTACCGCCTGGCAAACGCATTAAGTTCCTTGATGGAGCTCGGTAATATTATGGACTCGGTGCAGTTCTCCGGCTTAGCCAAGTAGAGTTCATCGCCTGGCAAGACGCCAAGCAAGCAGTCAGTCGTCCGATAATAGATTGGCTGCAGTAGCGTGGAGCCTTGGGCGCTGCGATTATGCGCAAACAGTAGAAGGTGCTCCCAGCGGTGCATGCTCATTAGACGCGCCGTCTCATATAGCAGGATAAAAGGCAGCCAGATTGTTCCCTCCTGAGATTGCTGCCAGCAGTCGCCTGGGTGCAGCCAGTGAGCCGAAGCCACCTCGGTAGGTTCGAGCAACAAATCCACTTGGCTGGTCTCTAAGGCTGCAAAATAGTAGACCGTATCGTACTTGCGACTCGCTGAAGCTGGTGTGCGCCAAACCGACCACTCGCTCAGTGCCCACAGATCGGGTATGACAGACAGATGACGACAAAGCTCGAGAAACTGTGTTGCATCATTGTGTACGCGTTGTTGCCAGAGCTCACGATCGAGTGGATGCAACAGCATGTGTGCCGGCTGACCCTTTTCCAAGTCCTTGAGACTTGTACAGCACAAAAGAATGCCCACCTCCTCGAAGGTTTCTCGTAGTGCCGTTAGACGCAGTGAGATATCGCGTGAGAAATTAACGCCCCGGCTCAAGAGTTCTGGTCTGCCTGTAGCTTGACGGCATTTTAATAGCTCCAGCTGCGCCTGGGTTATGCCACAATGCTTAAAATAGGTCAGCCAATCGGTGGATTCATCTGCCTTGGCATCAAAAACGCCGCCAGGAAAGACGCAGTGATTTAGTGCATATGATGTGCGCTCTGTGCGTTTAATTAGCAACAGCTAATAAGCAAAGGCATAAATTTGACAAACATTTTCTTGTTTTTTATTTATTTACTCTTACATTGTAATCAAATTGCGCTTCTGAGTTGGACACCGCTTTGCCTGCTAGAATTAAGCTGGCTGATGGCCTATACCCATTGACCCGAACTTTATCTGAGGTCGCCATGCTAGGAGCTGTTAACTGATCGTGGCTTTTCAACCACTTAATTCATATCAAAATCATATTTTATTTTCACCTTTGCACCGCGAAGCGAGAGTTCGACAGCTGAAAAATATATATATCGAAAACATTAACGATACAATCGATAGTTGCGGTAGCAGCCAGATCGATTGCTGCATGCTTTTCATATGTTTGTAATCGCTTATTGCATTTATTGATTGGCAAATTAAACTATAGTTGAAAACTGAAATAGAATGGGCGTAATAATAAATAGGATCGATTTGTTTACAGTTTATATTATCGTTTATGGCCCAGGTGATGCAAGTGGTGGCTAACTAATGACATTATCGGCGCAAACGATAGTTATGGCGCCAGCCCACCCCCACTATCAGCCAGATCGATAGGTGCTTGCTTGCATTGTTATCGTATCGGTTTTATTATTATCTAAGTCATGTCGAAGCAAGCGTTGGCTAAAATACGTCAATCCGCCAGCCTAATACTTCTGGCCAAGGACAACAGAGCTGCGCCGTCCTGCTATGATTACAATGTTTGTATATTTACATTATATTTATAGCAGTTTGCTTACTAGATTCATTTTGCAGGCGCTGCTTTTCACACGCCACTCCAAGTCCAGCTTCATGCCGGATTCTTCCGTGTTTCCGGGCGGCGTTTGTGAAGCGATAGACAGCTCACCCGTTTGGCTAAAACACTTTCAGCGCTACGACATTAACGCTGCCAAATTGCAACAGCTCTTCCCGGTGTCTGTGTCACCGAACACCTTGGATGAGACTCTCAATGCGTAAAGTAGCAAAATTCATAGTTCTTTAATTTTCATTTAAATTGTATACTCTGTTTAGGGCTGTTTCGCTGCGTCTGACTGCACTACGTGAAACATTTGAGGAAATGGGCATTTTACTCTGCCGTGATCGGAAAACCTTGACCAGCACCGATGGCTATGCGCAGTTCAATGAGCAATTCGACCGTAAACACTGGCAGCATGTGGTGCACAATGATGCCAGCAAGTTCCTAACGCTCTGCGAGGAGCTGGACGTGCTGCCAGATCTGTGGGCATTGCACGAATGGTCCGCCTGGCGGACGCCTTCCACGTTCAAAAAACGCTTTGAAACTGCCTTCTTTCTAGCCGCACTTAAGACTCAGCCGCAGGTGCTGACAGAGCCTAACGAAGTCAAGGACTATGCGGTTAGCAAACGCTCAGAGATAAAACTTTTCGGTTATCCCTGCTAACTTTCAAAATTGTATTTTTCAAAACAGTGGCGAGACCCCTTGGAATATCTACAGGCTACGCTACAAAAAAAACTTTGGCTGCCTCCACCGCAATACTATGAACTATCGCGTTGTCTCAACTTCCAAACGTTGGAGGAACTGCGTAATTTTGCACAGAAGCGCGCATCCATGGGCTATGTGCTCACACATCCGGTCATGTACAAATGCACTGATGGGCTGGTGCATTTGTTGCCCGGTGATGACATGTATCCCGAAGATCCCGATGCGAGCAACGACAAAATCGAGACAGGCCTTTCCACAGAGGAATTTCGCTCTTTGGCCAAAAAGAATTTACATCGTTCAGAGCATAAGAATCAGCACGAATCGCAGCTCCATATTAATATTAAGCCTGCCAATGGTCACGTCAACCCCATAGATCCAAGAAGTCTTTAGCGTGGAAAGCATTTAAATTCGTTGATGAAAACACAGGTCTTTATTATTCAACAAATAACTTTATTAACAATTTATAAATGGGTAATTGATTGTTGCAGGTGTCATTCCACCATAAATACAACAGAGGCTTTATCAGGTGCAATTTTTGTTAAAAACGAATTATAATTGTTATAATGTGTATTTTTCTAAACAAGGAAATGTAACAAAAATAAACGACAAAGAACAAGAACTATTGGAATGCCGAGGACTTTTTCAGCTAGCAGCGTCAATTATATCTTTAGGATAGGTTAAAAGAAGATTTTATGCCTTTACCATATCTATAGATATTTATCAATATCAAAGATTTCAAATGCTTTTAAGAATTATTATGCCTATGCAAAAGATTGTTAAAAGAGCCAGCTTTAAGTTACATTGATCCTAACTGTGGCTGTTAATGGGTATATCGACTACTAACGGAGTCCTAAAACGCATATTATAAACATGATGGCAACGAATGTCTCAACTTCTATAAGGCTTAACTATTACGCGGCAAGCGCCAGAAACTGTGATTATCTATTTATCATCCTTGCCATACCAGAGCTGGTACAGGTAGGAAGCCTCATCCGCATTGGCATAGCCGCTATCGTAGTCCGGTTTTGAAGGCGTTTTGTGTTGATCCTTGTGCCTGGAAATTGTTAAGATTATTGTTAATCATAAAAGTCATTTAGGATTATGTTACATACTCGTAATTTATGTAGGCAGGCTGTTCCCAGTGCTCTTGTGGGTGCTCTGGCAGCTTAACGTGATCTTTGTGCTCGGGCTCGCGGTAACATTTCTTGCACTCCACCAGCGCACGCTCAATGTTCTTCTGTGTGCTTAGGAGTACGCCCAACTTATTGTCAATCTGCCAGGTGGTGGCGCCCACCTGCTGCACTGTCTGCCCAATGGCCGCCAATTGCCGTTGTTGTGTGCTGTTTACGGAGCGCAAGCCCAGTTCCAGATGTTGCACTTTATTGGCCGTAATGCTGCTTAGCGCTGTCAGCTCATCCAAATGGTTGACCTTGCCCTCAATGTGGCGTTGTGCATGGTCCAGTTTCTTGGCGAGTTGCACAAGTGCCACCAGCTCCTTGAGGACCGACTGCTTGAGCAAATTATCCAGACCGGATAGGTGCTGGTGCACCGACTTGGCCACTTGGTCTAGGTTACGCTCATATCTGTTTTGATTGGCATCCACCTTGACGAGCACCTGTTTGATATCCTGCTGGCCACGTGCCAGGCTCACAATAGCTCTGTCTGTTCTATTCTCGGCGGCTCTGATGCTGGCCGACAGGATCTTGATGCCATTGGCTGTTTGCTGAAAGTTGCTCTCCGAGACACGCTCCAGTTTCTTGAGTCCATCCTCCAAGCGACCAATACCGGCTACATCCTGGCCCAGCAGCCTCAGCTTGTTCTCAATGCCCTTCTGGGAGTTGCTAATGCTATGTGCTTTAATGTCCAATTTTTGCAGTACCTCGGTATTCTCCTCCAAAATGCGACGTATGGGATCGTTATTTGGGTTCTGTCCGTGCTCCACGTGCTTAGCAACTGCTGCTTGCTGTTGGAGTGGATTAGACTAAGGAAATGTAATTTGCTATTGATTTGTTATGGGACGCACCTGCTCCGCTTGCTGCTCCTCGGCGACGCATAAGGCAGCCAAGCACACAATAAGCACAACTAGTTGAGACTTCATGTTTGACCGTTAATTTGGAACTGCCCTCAGTTGGCGTGGGTTACATCTTAAATACTCGCAACTGTGAATAGCTGGCGCGTGCCAGGTGCACCTTGACCTAATCAGTGGCAGCATTGAGTATAAGCGCTTCATATTTTATTTGATAACATTAAGAAATGGGGGGTTTTTAGTTATTAGGATAAGCTAGCACAATTCTTATCATAGGTAATCACAATTTTCCATAGCCTCGAGTCTGAAAATCAGTTCCAGCTGCCAAAAACTCTAGGTCTTAGCCCTTGTAATCATCCCAAAAAAATAGTTCAACGACTCTTGGACAAAAAAATAAAATGTTTAATTTGTAGGGTCACGTCTTGACATTCTTCTATGATAGCTATTAATAGATTTGGAGCCCCCGATTGACCAACATTTTCAAGTGTACGTCCAAAAACTAAACGTGCCAAATTCTACCTTTTCCGGCTGTATGCAACTGTTCAAAAAATGCGGCACAATTTTAAATATACTTTTTAATAAATTCATTCAGTAAAATGTAGGTTAACCTTACAGATTATTATATTATAATGAAAATTAGAGCTTTTAATAATTCTAACTGTTCAAAAAAAAAAATAAAATCCTTTATTTTTATTCCTTTCTTTAAATATCCGTGAAATAGGTTTTTAAGGAATCATTAAATTTTAAATATATGTTTTAACTTTTAATTTTTATGATTAAAACATATATATATTATTGGAAAAAAAAATTTGAATTTTAAAAAGTTTTGAAAATTAAACAAGTAAGAGGTTCTAGTCGGGAGCTCCCGACTAGGGGATACCCTGAACCCTCTTCTTCCAACATCAAATGCATATATATATTCTATTTTAGAAGCTATATGTCAAGTTTGGTGACTCTAGCTCTTATAACAGGATATAGATTCTTATCGATTGCTTGGAAACGGAGTAAGCTATCGATTATCGGAAACAATCTCGATCTGCGCGGGCACTAGGAGCACCTACATTTAAAATTTCTGTAGTTCTTATAGGTTTGAGATCCTTGCGTTCATACATACGGACGGACGGACGGACAGACGGATGGACATGGCTAGATCGACTCGGCTTTTGGTGCTGATCAAGACTATATATACTTTATGGGGTCGGAGATGCTTCCTTCTGCTTGTTACATACATTTGGATTCTGCACAAATACAATATACCCTTATACCCATTTTTAATGGGTTAACGGTATAAAAATACCAGAACTGAATTATTCTAATTTGCGATCGAGCACTTTCTGTAGATATTAATGGATTATGTATTTTGCATTATGCAAATATGCATGTTTCGCAGTCTGCGAATAGTGCTTCTTCTGTATATATCAAAAAATCCAAAACTAAGGAATTAAAGCCAATACAATTTAAATGAAAGGGGATCCTTAAGAAGTATTAACTTTTTAAATATTTTATTTACAAAAATAATATACTCTGTAACTCAATCAGGAAGGATACGCCGAATATTTAATACCCTTGCGGAGCCAAGCTTTTCATAAGGCTCATAGAGGTTTGCCCGTATCTAAGAAGCACAGGGAAAGTAGTCAATGCCAAGTATGGTTAAAATATTTTCAACAAAAAAATTATTCATGCAACATAATCGACCGATCGTTTCTATGCCAGCTATATGATATAGTAGTCCAATCCATCTGGTTCCGACATACATATATACAGCGTGCAACAGAAAGAGGCGCTTCTAAAAAGTTTCTTAACGTCTTAAAACTGAGACTAGTTCGCATAGAAACAGAGAGACGGACAGACGGACATGGCTATATAGACTTATCTGTTGATGCTGATCAATAATATATATACTTTATGGGGTCGGCGATGTCACATATAGCGTTTCACATTTCACGACAAAATTGTAATACCCTAATTCTACTGACTATAACTTGTTAAGCCGAAAAAAACGGTTTAAATAGAATTTATTATATTTAAAAACCGTTGTTTATAGTTTATATAATTTATTATATGTTCTATAACATTTGACTACAAAATTTGGCTGTACATATGTATATTTGGGCTATATCTATTAGTTTAAATAATTGCAAACTTCACAAAACATGAAGCTGATGGGCCTTAGTAGCCGTTGGATGGGGAGTGGGCACTGTACCAGGGAGCATGGCTTTGCTGGGGCGTGGCTCGACCAGGTTTATTGCCTTGCTGGGAATAAGACTCTGCTGGTGCAGCTGGTGGTCCATAGCTAGCGGGAGCGGAGTGCCGCGGTGGACTGTGTGGCCTTTGGTCCTGGGCACATGGCTTCTGGTTTGCTGTGGGTCTTCTATGACCCGAACCAGTTTGATAGGGCTTAGGCGCGGGCGCTGGAGCGGACAGATAGTGTGGTTCTGTTGGCCATGCTAGTGGATTGGGCTTGGGCTTGGGCGCTGGAGCGGATTGGTAGGGGGAAACAGCTTCCCACGGTAGAGGCTGCTGCCAGGAGACGAAGCTTGAGCCAGCGGGCTTGCGGGCAGTTGGCGCAACTAAATGGCTGGGACTACCGTGCGCATCTGAAAAATATGTGTATATTAAGCTTGTGTTTTGTATAAGTTTTATTATTTCTCATAACATACTCTGCTGGTTTTGCTCCTCGGCGTTCCAGACATGCTCCAGATCCCACTGCTTGCTGGACTGAGCACGTGGCGGTGGTGGTGCATGGGATTTAATCTCATAGGCTGAATAGGAGGCGGAATGCGGCGATGCCCGTCTCTCGCAAGCCTCCAGATCCAATTCAATGCGTTTTTGGGAAATGATGAGCTCGCGTAGTGCGTGCTCAATTTGCCAGGTATTCAGAGGCTTTAGATGGGTCAGAGCGTGCGTGAGGACTGCAAGACGTGCGTTCTGGGTGCGATTCAAGCTGACCAGTTGGTCGCCCAGTACCTTCAGCTTGCGTTTGGAATCCTCACTAATGTCCTTGACACGTGTCAAACTCTTGAGCTCTACCTCTATGTTGATTTGTGATGTCTCCAGACTATCGAAGGAGCACTGCAGTCCATTGAGCTGGGGTAAAACGGCTCGAGTTATCAGTTTGGTGAGCTCCAGTATGTTATTGTCAATGCTCCGTGCACTCTGGAGCACATGCTTCTGGTGGGAATCCAGCTTTTGTTCCAGGCCGTTGATCTGTTGTTGTGTGGAGATCTGCAGGCGTACCAGGCCGCCTAGCTCCTTAGACACACGCTCCGCATGTAGTCCAGACTTGAGCGTTATATTGTTAAAAGCCTCCTGGACAACAGCGCCTTGCGCATCAATAAATAGATTCAGTTTTGCCAGCAAACCTTCAATATTTTTAATGGACTCCAGCCAGGAGCGCTGCTGTTCTATACTGGCCTTAATTCGTTCGTTTGTGGCATCAATGTGATGTAGTATAAGCTTGGTGTCGGTTAGTTCCTTGGTATTCTCCTCCAGCATCTGTTTGATATTCTTTACTTGCGTTTCAGCAGAACCTGCACAGAGGCAGCCCAGCAAAATGATTGTTAACAGAATTTTCATATTGCTTCAGTTTGGAAACAGAAAGTGCAAGTGCCTTGGGCTGAGTCTTGCTAGCCCTTAAGTACCACTTACTTACCTTTTGGGCAGCTGCAGTGGCACGTGTTTGTGTGCATCTTCAGCTATCTGCCAAGTGATTTTTTACTCTGAGCACTAACATATGTTCATTGTTAATTCGGCTGCTGCTGTAATCGGAGTTCGCTGTGTCGTCGGTTAACGTTGTGCACGAATTTGAACGGTAGTGTTGATAAATATGTTTCGACGTCCGTTACATTCAGGAGCAACAAGTAACCGATAGCGTGTCTCTAGTACCGATAACCGATTGCTCCTGCAATTCGCTGGCTCGTGTCAGCTGTCAGCACTACGCTTTTCAGCTGTTTAAAGGCACTGGGACAGGGTGAAAAGAAAATACATTGTTCTAGAAAGAGAAATCAACATATTGTGTATAAATAAATGCAAGAATTGTGCGCTTGTATTTGTTGTGTTCACTTTGCAATTTACATCGCATACAAACGTACGCACCGCAAATAAAGCAAACCAAGCGCAGACAATAAACGTGTGCAAAGTTCAACAATCGCAATCGGTTACCGGAGCCACAAGAAGCAACTTGCAAAGATGGAATCCCAACAAAATACAGTCGAAGCTGATGCAACAGCCGATTCGTCATTTCTGGCGGCCGCATTTCGTGAAATCTTTTACAGTCCCATGAATCTGGCTCTGCTCTCAATCATTTGCTTTCTGGTATATAAAATAGTGCGTGACCGTTGCGAGGGACCGGGCACACGGGATTTGGCACAGCAACCGGCTGAGCCGGAGTTGCCCAAATTGCGTCGTGACTTTACTGTTAAGGAGCTGCGAGCCTATGATGGCAACCAGCCAGATGGCCGTGTCTTGGTTGCTGTCAATGGCAATGTTTATGACGTCACCAAGGGCAAACGTTTCTATGGCCCAGGCGGACCATATGCCACATTTGCCGGACGCGATGCATCGCGCAATCTGGCCACATTCAGTGTGGTGGCCAACGATAAGGATGATTACGATGATCTGAGCGATCTAGGCACCATGGAAATGGACTCAGTCCGCGATTGGGAAATGCAATTCAAGGAGAAATACGAATTTGTTGGCAAATTGCTGCGTAATGGTGAGCAGCCGACCAACTATGATAACGATAGCAACGATGATGATGACAATATTGACGCTGGCACCAAGAAAGACGAATAGATGGGAAGGCACAGAAAACTTTTGGCGTGGAAAACTTTTGTTTTGTAACGATGATTAGCACAAAAGCGACAGGTGGCGATCGGATTGGCAATCTAGTAACATTTTGAACACACACCCACACCAACACCTCCCGCACACACACACACACACACACACACGCACTCACACCCTGGCTTAGGCAAGCTGTAAAAACATTTAGATTGTATGGGACAACTATATTATAAGATTTATATGTATGTTTTAAAAAAGATAACCAAAATAACTTGGTATATCAAAATCAAAACAGTGCACCAAATTCTATGCTTAACTATCAGTAAAGAGAAAACATAATACCCAGGCATGATCATAAATGGTCTGCGAAACCACATTAAATAAAGCCAGAAATACATTAAATGGCGAAAGCTGATTAAATATATAAATATATATGTACTTGTGAAAATGTTGTGTGCATATACTTAATGGCTACGAGGGCTGTCTCTTATATTATGCACCTTGGTACCTTTGTCTAAGTGACCGACCCGGTCTTTCAATTAACTGAATATCAAGCAGACGGGTTCGCAGCTCAGACTTGTGTTTCGATTTAGTAATGTCTTAGCCGGAGGCTATATTAGTAATTCTATGTTATAAATAATTGATTGTTTTGTAACTATATACTAAACTTAACAATATAATAAACTTGTGAATTTCCAAGACAGCCATTGATTTTCTTTGACTTTGGCAGTAAATTAACGCAGCTAATCATGGTGAAAAGGTTCCGGTCAAATTTCTTGAAGGCTTAATTAATATTAAAAGATCGGTCGTTAGGCCTGAAAAAAACAAAGATTTCTGGTTAGAAAAGTATCTCGAAAAAGTCTTCATCGTGAATAATTGATCATTTTCAACGTTTTTAACAGTAGATATTGAAAATTTAATATATAATAGTTGTTTCCGCAGAATTCAAATGGTAGCCCTCGCAACGTGAAAAAAAACGAGCAATAAATGTTTTAAGGTGCAGCTGTACCCCCGCACCATAATCGTGGTTGCGCTTATCACTTAGTAATCGATTTCAAGTTAATCGGGTTGTTATCGATGTTATCGACTGTCCAAAGCGCATCCAATTGATTTTACCTATTAGCAACAGGTTTTTGGCAATAAAAACAAACAAAATAAGTATTAAATGGAAAATAAAATAAACCAGCCGAGTGCAATAAATGCGAACACTAGATGGCGCACCTCGGCGAGCCTCATTTTGGTGGCGCCAGCAGCAGCAGCTAGCGAGGATTACAATGTGAGTGGCAAGCGTTAGAAGCAACAGGTGAACAAAATATTTTTTTTGTATTCTCCTTAGCTATTAATGCTGAAGCGCAGCGAGGCCACGGCCATAGCGCACAATCAAACTGTTTTTCCTGGCGGCCTACTGGACGTGGAAGGGGATGAGAGCGTCGCTTGGCTGGAGTATTTTGAGCAGTTTGGCGTGTCCCAAGCGTCGCTGCGTAGACTGATACTCATCAGTGAACATAGGCCAGGAATATTGGCAGCGCAAGGCAACGGTTGCTACGATCGTTTTTTTAAGCGCTCTAAAATTTGGGCACGGTCAGTACAAGGTGCAATACCTATACCGATTAAATCTAATCTTTGACTTATTAGGGAAATTACGCTACGCTTGACGGCGTTGCGTGAGTGTTTCGAGGAAGTGGGCATTCTGCTCTGTCGCAGCCAAGCGCAGCTGAATCAACTGGATGCAGTGGCTCTGACAGCGCAGTTTCAGCCGGAGCAGCAGCACTTCGATCGTGAGTCCTGGCAGCGACGTGTGCATAATAAGCCCAGTGAATTTTTAGAGCTGTGCCGTGAATTGCAAGTGGTGCCGGATTTGTGGGCCCTTCACGAGTGGTCCGCCTGGGCGAGTCCAGCGATTGTCAAAAAAGGGTGAGTGAGGTGGGGCTAAGGAAGTTTTAGTTTATAAACTGTTTTCCCTGCTGGAAAAATGTGTGGAATAGGTTTATTTTTTAAACTTTTCGTGACGGAAAATGGTCGAAAAACGTCATAATTAAACTTTTTGGTTTTGATTTGCATTCAAACTCTTTATGGTTTCTTTTAGCCACGAAACAGTTTTCTTCATGGTATTTTTGGACAGTCAGCCTATCCTGCTCGCAGAGCCGACTGAGGTCAAGGAGTGCTTGGTAGCTAACTTAAGTGCAACTCACCCATATATATAAATTAAATGTACAATCTTTTTACAGTGGCGCACTCCAGTCGAATTCTTGCGTATGTACCAGCATGGGGAACTCTGGCTTATGCCACCACAAATTTATGAGCTCTTACGCCTGCTAGGTATCCCGGATTACCGGAAACTGTTGCACTTTGCAACGCAGCGTAGCATTTTGGGCACTACTTTGTTTTTACCGGTGGGTTACAACTGCAGCGATGGCATGGTGTTTGCTCTGCCAGGTAAACCGTGATAGGTTTTTCGATAATAGATCAACTTAAAGTATTTGTTATATTTATGCAGGCGATGAACTTTATGTGACCGAGCCACATTTGGTCACTGAACCCATTAACTTTCTGGGCACCGCTGACGAACTGCGCGCGCGCTCCATTTGTTTACATCGTTATGAGTTTACTGGACCAACTGTTTGTAGAGTACATTTAAATATTCCAACTCCGAATGGTCATCTGCCGCCACAGAATCTGCCAAACCCGCTTCACAAACTTTAGGCGCCCCATAGGCGCTTCTCGTTTCGGAAATGAAGTAACGTAAGTTAAGTTTTGAATTGATCATCAGGACAAGTTTAATGTGGTATATAAAGAACTGGTATAAGGCTTGTAAATATTTGTATATAGACTCAATCAGGGGAATTAGAACTTTCAATAAGTGTTGTTGTATATTTTCAAACTCGTTTCTATTGTAAAATCTTAATTTACTCATTACTTTCTGTTCTATTAAATAGTGTATTGGTCGGTTTTTAATATCATCTTTCTAAAAAATATAATTTTGTTGAATCCTTAAAGCAATCTTTATATTTAAACCTGTTTGTCCAGACTGACTGACTGATAGGTGATCAACGCACAGCCCAACCCGTAAGAGTTAGGAAGCTGAGGGGTTTAGGGAAATTCCGCCCGCAAGTATGGAAAAATCGCGTAAAACGTTTGTATGAAACTTTGTAGTTGACCATCCGATCGACCGATCGACCTCAAACTCAATTTCAACGTTCTTTGTTCAAATTCATTTGAGGGATGTTCGACACTTTTCCATAATGTATTCCTCCTTGGTGGAAATGGGGGTCAAAGATTTGGTGGATGATCTTCTTTCAAGGATTTTTAAGAAAAATCATTTGAGGCGTGTTTCACATTTTTAACAGAATCAAAGCATCCACGGTAGAAAATCAAGTCTACGATTTTTTTGGTGCAGTTATAATTTGTTCCGATTTGCTTCAAAAATATTTTTAAAGCTGTACATAATTTTATAAAATATTAATGTTAAATTGATGCAGTATATTTTCATACTTTATAAATACACTAAACCTTGGACATTAGTATTTTATCGCTTAAAATATACTTTCGTAGGGTAGCTTGAATATATTGTTTTCTTGGTGTTATTCAAATATTATTTGCAGAAATATTAAGTACAAATATTTAAATAATATATTAAGTATGAAGATATTGCGCTTCAAAATGTAACATAGCAATATGTTTATACAAATAAAGTAGAATAAAACTGACACAAAAATTTAATACAATAATATAAAAATCGTGTGCCTTTTCTGTCTAAAGATTTTCTATCCCGCTCGGGCAGAGGCTTACGCTAGCGGGGTCAAAGAAAGTGTGTGACCGCTGCTTAGCATAGATAAGGACTGTGAATGTGACCCTTAAGCGGGATCCGCTACAAATTGTTATTTTGTTATGATTTTAAGCGGATTTCGTGGGTCGCGCTGTACTTGTCAAATTGCTAACTTTAATTAGAATTTTATAGGCAAGGTTTTTAATTAAAGAAATTGTAGTTAAGGAGCAACATAAGTTAGCTT